TCTTTTGTTCTGGTGTTTGGGAAGCTCATTACAGTTTGGCATTTACATTTTCCAATGCATGTTTATAAGCTATTCAGTTACATTTGAAATGTTGTCTATATATATCTACAGGAGGCGAACAGCCAATTCCACTATGGAATGAACATGATGGTACAGCAGATGGAGACAAGCCAAAAATCCTTCTTTATTCACTAAACCTACGATTCAAGGTGTGACTTTAATACAATGTCATTATTTTTCCATTTATCTGAATTTTTGCTGTGTGTGTATATATAGATAGATAGATAGATAGAGAGATATATCTATCTATATATATAGATATATATATAGATATATATATCTATATATATATACAGTTAGGTCCATAAATATTGGGACATCGACACAATTCTAACATTTTTGGCTCTATACACCACCACAATGGATTTGAAATGAAACTAACAAGATGTGCTTTAACTGCAGACTGTCGGCTTTAATTTGAGGGTATTTACATCTAAATCAGGTGAACGGTGTAGGAATTACAACAGTTTGCATATGTGCCTCCCATTTGTTAAGGGACCAAAAGTAATGGGACAATTGGCTTCTCAGCTGTTCCATGGCCAGGTGTGTGTTATTCCCTCATTATCCCAATTACAATGAGCAGATAAAAGGTCCAGAGTTCATTTCAAGTGTGCTATTTGCATTTGCAATCTGTTGCTGTCAACGCTCAAGATGAGATCCAAAGAGTTGTCACTATCAGTGAAGCAAGCCATCATTAGGCTGAGAAAACAAAATAAACCCATCAGAGAGATAGCAAAAACATTAGGCGTGGCCAAAACAACTGTTTGGAACATTCCTAAAAAGAAGGAACGCACCGGTCAGCTCAGCAACACCAAAAGTCCTGGAAGACCACAGAAAACAACTGTGGTGGATGACCGAAGAATTATTTCCCTGGTGAAGAAAACACCCTTCACAACAGTTGGCCAGATCAAGAACACTCTCCAGGAGGTAGGTGTATGTGTGTCAAAGTCAACAATCAAGAGGAGACTTCACCAGAGTGAATACAGAGGGTTCATCACAAGATGTAAACCATTTGTTAACCTCAAAAACAGGAAGGCCAGATTAGAGTTTTCCAAACGACATCTAAAAAAGCCTTCACAGTTCTGGAACAACATCCTATGGACAGATGAGACCAAGATCAACTTGTACCAGAGTGATGGGAAGAGAAGAGTATGGAGAAGGAAAGGAACTGCTCATGATCCTAAGCATACCACCTCATCAGTGAAGCATGGTGGTGGTAGTGTCATGGCGTGGGCATGTATGGCTGCCAATGGAACTGGTTCTCTTGTATTTATTGATGATGTGACTGCTGACAAAAGCAGCAGGATGAATTCTGAAGTGTTTCGGGCAATATTATCTGCTCATATTCAGCCAAATGCTTCAGAACTCATTGGACGCCGCTTCACAGTGCAGATGGACAATGACCCAAAGCATACTGCAAAAGCAACCAAAGAGCTTTTTAAGGGAAAGAAGTGGAATGTTATGCAATGGCCAAGTCAATCACCTGACCTGTATCCAATTGAGCATGCATTTCACTTGCTGAAGACAAAACTGAAGGGAAAATGCCCCAAGAACAAGCAGGAACTGAAGACAGTTGCAGTAGAGGCCTGGCAGAGCATCACCAGGGATGAAATCCAGTGTCTGGTGATGTCTATGTGTTCCAGACTTCAGGCTGTAATTGACTGCAAAGGATTTGCAACCAAGTATTAAAAAGTGAAAGTTTGATTTATGATTATTATTCTGTCCCATTACTTTTGGTCCCTTAACAAGTGGGAGGCACATATGCAAACTGTTGTAATTCCTACACCGTTCACCCGATTTGGATGTAAATACCCTCAAATTAAAGCTGACAGTCTGCAGTTAAAGCACGTCTTGTTTGTTTCATTTCAAATCCATTGTGGTGGTGTATAGAGCCAAAAATGTTAGAATTGTGTCGATGTCCCAATATTTATGGACCTGGCTGTATATATATAATTAGACAAGGGCGGACTGACAACTCATGGGGCCCCCGGGCAATAGGGGATCATGGGGCCCCTGTGTCCTTGCCCAAACTCAAAAAATCCTCTATGAAAAAAGGTACCAGGGGCATCTCACGGGGCCCCCTACTGACCCCGGGCAGTGCCCGAGTTTCCAAATGGTCAGTTCGCCCCTGATATTAGAATAGATCTTAACTGGAACTACATTTAGTTTGCTTAGAATATATAGGAAAGGGCTAAAGTCACTTTATTAGGACCATTTCTTTTCACTTCCTGTCCATAGACTCAACAAGAAGTGAGAGGATATCTTTCCAATGCAAGGGAAATCCCCTCATAGACAGTTGTCATGGGAACAAGTGCCACCCCCCTTTGGCAGATTTGCCATTAATACCTGTCCTGGTGGCAAGTCAAAATTGTGGATTTACCCTCACTTTCTTTCCCAGTGACATTGGTGATCAGAACAACTAGCTTTCATATTTTGCATTTCATGAACACGCGCAAAATCGCGTTGTGTTTTTGCACCACATGCATTTGATTACAATGAGTTGCTTTGCACATTACAAACGCTGCAAAGTAACTTATGCACCTTTTTCAGCTTTGAGTGTCACACTTTTTTTAACCTTGTCTATTTTTTTTTGCTACAATAGGGGTGCCATCTCGTTTTGTAAAAGTGAGAGAAATTGTTTGCTTTTGTGAGCGTTTATGAAATGCTAAAGTGGGAATGCAGCTTTAGAGAGAGAGAGAGACTCCCAAACAGAGATACACAGCAATAAATACCTGACAGTGGTTCTAATCCCTCACCACTCTATATGTAAACAAGTGTTGCCTTTATGTATACTTTAGCACTGTATTTTTTTTTTTCATAAACTTTTTTCGTCCAGTTTGGAATCTCATTGCTGCTGATCTCCTCCAGCTTCTTCCAGTCACTTTCAGTCCACATGCTCTTGCCTCAACGTCAGCAACATATTATGGCTATATACCTTGCCTACCTGAAGTGTGTTGGCACAGCCAGTTGTAGTTTCCTCCATTTGAAAGTGTGACACCACAGGAACACAGCTGGGGGACTAAACATTTCATAACAGTTCAGTGCCTAAACAGGAACCTTAGTGGTGTCAGGATCATCAGATATCATTTTAATGAAAACTGCAGATTTAAAAATATTGAAAACATTTGGAGTTGAATTAAAACATCTGCTTGTGATTCAAAAAAGTATACATCTTTTTTTTTTTTTTCTACTTTCAATTTATGTTTGGGAGATATAAGAAACCAGGGGATGATTGAGCTTATAAACATCCCACATTACTGGATTATTTTTTTATTTGGATAGGTTTTAAAAACAAATGTGCTCATATTTCAAGCATGTTTGTCCTGGATTATAACTGTGCCATCCAGTTATTATTATTATTATAATACAGGATTTATATAACGCCAACAGTTTACGCAGTGCTTTACAACATAAGGGCAGACAGTAAGCATTGGATTTATGGTTGTTTTACATTCTTTACTATAGGGCATCCAAGTGACAGCTACAACTCCCTCCATGAGGGCAGTCAGATTTGAGACCGGGCTGATAGAACTGGAGTTGTCAAACCGAATTCAGACGAAAGCCTCACCTGGAAGCAGTAGCTATCTAAAGCTTTTTGGAAAATGTCAAGTTGATTTGAACTTGGCTCTTGGACAAATTGTGAAACATCAAGTAAGCAAATTTGTTAATAATAAAAATATTATACAAATAGTTAATATAATAGTTTTCATTTGTTTGTTTTTTTTCGTACATGGTGGATTTCTTCTTTACTTTGCCATACATTGTCTAGACTTTTATTTTATTGCAGTCATCCTTACATGCCTTTTCTTAGATGTTAATATTGTGACCCATGCAGGTTTATGAAGAGGCTGGATCAGATTTTCATCAAGTTGCCTATTTTAAAACCCGCATAGGCTTGCGTAATGCACTACAGGAGGAGATCAGCGGCTCTACAGGCAGAGAAGCAGTGCTTATTACCTTGAGTAGACCTATTGTCTATGCACAGCCTGTAGCCTTTGACAGAGGTACTAGCAGCTGTCTTTCTATTCCTGTCTATCTTTCACAATAAGTGTATAGCACCCTAAACAATACTTTACTTGCTTCAGGTGTATAAAAACATGATCATAAATAAGAGGCTGATTTTTGTAGCTTATTTCAAAGTTATACCCATGTGATTGTACATAATTTGTTCCAAAACACATGGCAACTTTTTCATTCTGTGCAGTTCTCTTGCTGGCACTCACAATTCATAAAGCCTGCTTATATGTGTTTTTTTTTTTAAATCCTTTTATCACATTTAAATTCTTGCAGCCCTGCTGCTTACTTGTTGGTATTCTTTATCCTGTGTTTAACAATATATGTTTTTTCCCTATTGAGTGTTCCTTCCACCAGCATAATTTGCCAAAGTTTCAATTTTATATTTTTTTCAATAATATTTTTTGCAGTCTGTAAAGAACAAAAGGTTTATTGCTTTTTTATGGCTATGTTGCCTATGTCCACAATACTAATCATCCTCTATATCTTGTAGAGATTTCCCAGTTAATGAACCTAACACGTATGAGTACATTTTATCATTTATTTATCATAATGACATATAAAGTGGCTATGTAACCCCTTTTTTTCTGTTGAAAGCTGTGCTATTCTGGCTGAATTACAAAGCAGCATATGATAACTGGAATGAGCAGCGAATGGCACTAAACAAGGATATTCACGTGGCTACAAAGGAAGTAGTAGACATGCTGCCAGGAATTCAGCAGACATCTGCCCAGGCTCTTGGAACTCTCTTTCTCCAACTCACAGTTAATGATTTGGGTATATGTTTACCCATCACCAACGCACCACAGGTATTGAGCTTCAATTTTGAAATATTAGTTTGAAAAATTAGTAATGTTTTATGCTTAGCCTTTTCATCACCTCATTCATGTAATGATCAAGTTATGTTTTGTTTCTACCAGGCAAATCACACCGGTGACTTTGATACAGGTTCTGCATTGGTACTGACTATTGAAAGTACTTTGATAACCGCATGCTCATCAGAGTCTCTGGTTAGCAAGGGACACTTTAAAAACTTCTGCATTCGTTTTGCTGATGGATTTGAGACCTCTTGGGATGACTGGAAACCAGAAGTCAGGACCGATCTAGTGATGAATGCTTGTAAGTATATACTGTATCTTTGTTCATTTGTTAACAGAACCACAAAATGACAAGTAATATGTAGGCATTTTACCTGGATGTGTACACGCTTCTGTGAAAATGATTCTGCTTGGACAATTAAATTCAATTACCCTTGCCCTGGAAGCAGTTGTTACTTTGCCTTTGAAGCCTAGAACCTCATGGGAAGCTATGGTGTATTTTCAGAAATATATTGAATTATGCCATTAAACAGAAGCTATATAGGTTTTAGATCAATTGTGTTATAAGTTTACAATATCAGCTCTTGGAAATTTTGAATTGTTTATACGTTTTGGAAAGTTAAGGATCCATGCACACTGGCTTAAAAAAAAAAAAACGCTACTTCTACAGGAGGTTTGTGTTTTGCCTGTAGAAGCAGCTCAATGTTATCGTATGCACATTAGGACATTTAGAGGCAGAAAAAACCCTTCTGGTTTGTGTTTTTGAGAGCAGTTTCCTGGCAGAAAAAATCCAGCTGAATGCTCCTAAACTCTTGTACGAAAACTCTCTATATGGCTCCGTTCATACTGGCTTAAAAAAAGGCCAGTTCTCTTGACAGGAAAAATTATGCACATTTTGAGGGTTAGTTAGTGTTTAGAAGCATTTAGCAGCATAGAAAACCGCACTCAAAAAACCCAAAACAGAAGGGATTTTTTTCTGCCTCTGGGATTAAAAATTGCCTCTAGACTACCTATTGTGCATGGACACATAGGATAACATTAGTTGCTTCTACAGGGAAGAAGCTAAACTTCTCTAGGAGCAGTGTTTCTTTAAGCCAGTGTGCATAGGATAGAGCCTTAGAGCATTTTTTTTCTGCCAAGGGAACTGAAAATTATTTTAAGCCCAGTGTGCATGGACCCTAAAGGTGAACAGGTGCAAAAAGCCTCCAGTGCTCTTTTCATTTTATATTTTTACATGCTATAGGTGATATTGAAGAAACAGGTCTGTGTACTAGTAATGCTATCTCACTACTGCCCTTGAAACTGCAAAAGGAGATGTGTGCGTGTGTTGGGATCAGGATATACAGGAAAGACCTATAGGTGTTTTGGGGTGGGATCTCAGTGAACTGAAAATAAAATTCTTGTGATAGTGTCACTTAGCTTTAATACTATATAAGATAGGATGTAATAGGTAAAACGTATGTTGTGATATCCTCAGGGTGAACTGAACTTCACCCTGCAAGAAAACATTCCCCTTTCACCTTTAAATATTGTAGCTAGGAATATAATGTCAAGCTTGAGGCAGTCCAACATAAAAAATGGTTGCAATCTGTTTGAATCTGATGGCCTGACGTCTGCAGAATATCTGGTCTCCTTAATTTTATCAACAGTCTTGGTGACATATGGGCAGTGTTATTCTTTCTAGTGGATGAAAGGTTACCTTTGATAACCATGACATGTAACTAATCGCACTTGACTTTAATCTTTTTAACCTATTGATAGTTAAATATTTCTGCTTTTGTAGGTGTTGTGCCGGATGGAACATATGAAGTGTGTTCTCGGACAACAGGGCAGGCTTCAGCAGGTACGATTAAAATTGCATTTCCTATAATAATCTTGAGGATTTATGAGAATGCAGTTTGGTTTGTACATTCTTGTGCTGAGTTTCTAAAAGAGAAGGTATTTGTATTCATATATATTTATTTATTCAACACTAGAAAGCAACAGTGCTGGCACATGGACCCTCAATGTATTGTGGAAGATGTGTGGTATTGATGTGCATATGGATCCAAATATTGGAAAAAGGCTTAATGCCCTTGGCAATACTCTGACCACACTGACTGGAGAAGAGGACATAGATGATATCGCAGATCTGAACTCTGTAATCATGGCTGATCTCTCAGATGAAGATGAAGTTGACAGCATGTCTCCTACAGTCCATTCAGTACGTTCCCATACAACCATTTGCCATTATTGTGTTTGTCCTAATTTTTTTATTTCACTTCAGGCTAGCGCATACAATATGTGTTTGATTGTCTAGTCTATAGGGAGGAGGGGTTAACTATGATATGTAAGTGGATATGAAATGCTAGTGGCTAGATACAACTCTTCTTCCTCTTTGACATTTTTACCTCAAGCTGTGTGGCGATTACTTAGGAAATCTAGCTCAAGTTAAACCAGTAATGCCTCCAGAAATATTTTTGTACTCTTTGCTTACTGTCTCTTCCAATATGATACCTAATCTTTTAGATGCATGACCTATTTAATATTTAAAATTAGATTCTGTGAGCCAATTGAGAGAAATATATTTGTCAGTCTCTAGGCAATGGCATGGATGGTAAATCATTCTATATCTGCCAGTGTAAAGTCTCACTCAAATGTACCACACTGTTCACAGTAGTTTAGCTGTTTTGGTATATATATTATCTTGCTGTGTATAGATAATAGGTTTGGAACACTAGAATTAAATTTGCACTAAGGCTTATAAAAGAGATTCATATGAAAGAGAACTTTGCTATAAGAACTTAATACCTACTATAACGGTGTATAATTTAGATGAAAATGCTTTTCTGTCCTCTATATTGTAGGCAATATATAGACATGCATTGTTTAATTTACACACAAGCAGGATGCTGCAGCTTTTAAGGATAGATTACATTTGTGAATCTCAGAAACCAGTTGGTCAACATACAGCTGGCTTCTGTTAGCCTTGTGCTATTTAGAAGCAGATGTTCTCTGGCTTCTTAATAAAGCTTGCTGACACTTATTTTGAACAGGCTGGCTTCTAAATTAGTTTAACACTTATTTATTAAATACATTATTGACACTTTACAAGATTAGGGCCATTTTTTTCAATATATATTTTTATTTACTTTTAGAGTTGTATTAATCAGAAAAAAAAAAGCCTAGTGAAAATGCATGTACATGCGTTCTGTGAGTATGAGGGAAAAGAACAAATGCGATAAGACTATTTTCAGTGCTGGGCAAATTTTTTTTTCCATTGATTTAAAACACAAAATGCCACATTTGGCCATTAGATGGTGCTAAGTAGTATAGAAATTTCCTGTGATACTGGATGCCACCTAGTGACCAAATGCAATATTTTCCATTGTAAATAAATGAAAAACATTTGAACACAGGAACTAGCTTCATAACATTAGCTTTTTTGCCCTATTCACACAGAATGAGTGTAGATTCACTTTCAATGGGCCAATTACTATACCATTTTTTTTATATATAAATACATCCATTATTGTTGCCAGTCACAGTCAGGTGCTCATTAAAATTTTTAGAAACATGGAAGAGATCATTAACTAGAGGAATTTTTGTTCATTAGCCTTTTGCCTTCTCATCTAGGTTGATTTTATGTTAAACTGTGATATTTCACATCTGTGGTGTGCTTACTGTTGTGTGACAGAAATTTGGCCCTTCGGAGAGCCACTAAAGCCTCTGGTTTAGAGTACTTTCTCTATGTTCTCCTTTCATAATGTGTATCTTTGTTCATCTTCTTCTGTTACTTTGTTATAAACTTTGCAAGGTAGTTGCTTCATCAATTTAGTATATTACTGGATTGTCGGAGAACTAACCATAATGTTTACTGTCCAGAATTCAGAAGCAGTTTTTATAAATGGAGAAAGCCACAAGCTTACCCTTGGTCAGCGACTTGTAAATCACCTACTTGGCCTGAATCAGAAACGTCAGCGTCACTCAGTCCCTGCAGATTATCTCTCTGGTTCAGAAATATCTGGTCCTGTCAGTACACACACAAGCGCAAGCAGGTCTCGCTCATGGGCAAATGTATGTAAACAAAAAAAAATAAAAAGTAAAATAAAGATGGTCTTCAAATCAACTCACATCAGTTAATTGGGTGACTTGTTAAAGGAATTAAATCTGTACTAAATCTATGATTATTGCATGCCTAACTCACAGGGAGATTGGTTGCAATTGATAAAGTGTTATGAAAAATTGGTACATAACAAATTATACTTTCCTAGGAAAGTGTTGACTATAGACGACCTGGGCAACTTGGAAGCCAGAGTGTTGATCCAAGAGGACGGAAATTTGTGAAACGCTTGGTTGATATACGAGAACTCAATGAACAAGCAAAAGTTATTGATGATCTCAAGTAAGCAACTTTTACAGGAATAGAGTTTTGATAGATCTGGAAAATGTCAAATGTGTTCATGCAAAAACAGATTCCTGAAGTTCCTTAGTTATTCCCTAGCCATTGCTATACCTGTTGCACATGTGTATTATGTGTAATATGTCCTATGGTATGCATAGGAACTGGGTAGTAAGCATAATAAATCAAAGGTTACAGCTTGGAGATCGTGGCATCAAAGCATGTTATATCCCTAGTTATATGCTGTTGTATGCATTTTCCCATATTTGCATGCGACTCCTGTGGCTGCTCTAGTGAATTTCCACAATCCAAAAACTTAGTATCAATTGAACAGTCTGTTTTTGTAATTTGGCCCCAGACTGTGTAGTGTTCTTGCTTATGCCATGGAGCTGCTGTAGCAACATTAGATCATATGTTCCACAGAGGCAAAGACTGATCCGATGATGAAAGTGTAAACTACGTGTCATTGCTATACGATTATGGTAAATATTTGCACTTCATTTGGTATTGTAATGCTCTTAGTTGAAAAGCAATGTACACTTGCATATATGCTGCAATTCTTTTTCTTTTTTAATATCTTTTGTCCATCCCCACTTGGATGATATTGTAACATTTTATATTAATTTTCATGTTTTAGAAGTGAGTTAAAGATTTCTGGCAAGCTTGCATTGCAGTGTGTGCAAAGCAATGGGAGTTAGGCAAAATTACTGTCAGAACGATACGAAAGGGCATTTTAGAATTTTGGTGTATGATCATATTAAAATTAATGCATTATATGTTGACACCGAAAATAATTAGGCATGCTATTTTTCTGTAAGAAAACTTGGGGCAAGCGAAGGAACCATAAACCAGGAAATTCAGCGCTATCAACACTTGGAGTCAGTGGCAGTAAATGACATCCGCAGAGATGTTCGAAAGAAGCTGCGCAGATCTAGCATGAGGGTAGGTTGCTGAAGAGCATTTATATGTGCATAATACAATTATGTTGGATTGTGTAAATAATTGGCTTTCTCCCCCAACTAGGCAGCCTCCTTGAAAGATAAATGGGGTCTTGGATATAAACCAAGCTACAACCGTTCCAAGAGTATCACTGCTTCTGGAAGACCACCTCTGAAACGAACAGAAAGAGCCAGGTACATGATGCTTTACACACTCAAGGATTTAACATATATTTATTAAATGTCTTTAACTGTGTTAAGAATTATGTGCACAGTTGCAGAAGAAATAAGAGTATATACATTCTTGGGCCGAACAACTCACTTGGTTGCCATTTTCTTTTTTTATATGCATCAAAGGAAAAAGTGAGTCTTTTTTATTTAGTTAAAAAAAAATTACGAAATGATCTATTTTGAGAGATACTGCATATCCCTTGTTCTTTTTGTGCACATTTCCTTCTACACACCGTAGAAATTATATTAAAGTGGTTGTAAACCTCAGACATGAAATATGAACAAAGCATATGTCTCTATAGTGTGTACTTGTCTCAATCCTGAGCACTAAGTGTCATTTCTGTCTGCTGCTTTGTTTCTCTGCTATTAGCATGAATCACTTCTGACAATTTTTCCTAACACCAAAAAGAAAAATAAGAGTTAGGGACTTCCAGCAGATTGACAGCCTCAGCTCTGTTCCTGTGAGCTGTATGAGGGGAGGGGTGTCTCTTACCTCCAGTCAGCTCTTAGAGCTCTCCTCACTGAGCTGTGTAACTTCAGCTCCCACCACCTTTTTCAGAACTCTCAGACAAGCTTTATAAATTCAGCACTTTGAATGGATGTAGAGAAGATAAGACTACAGATAGACAGGTAAAATTTATGTAGGAGGATTTGTTTCATCTCTGTGTATCACCTGAGGATAGTCCCTTCACTGGGTATATGTAAGGTATTACAGCCACTTTAAAGTACTATAGTGTTTAACTTACAGTATACCATCATGTATGCTTGTATTAAAGCTTTTACGCACACCAGTTTATCATATTGCTGATATTAATGAATGTGTCCATACTAGTGCAGCAACTTGTGCTTGCCTGTGTGGGCTTAGATCATGCTAAATGGGAACATCAGCAGTGTTCTCTTGGTAGTCTTTACACATGCACATAACTACTGTAATTTGCTTTATAAAGAAGAAAGGTTTTTGAAGCACAACCAGTAATAGGCACGATGAAGCTTTTGCCCAATTAAAATGTAGATATCAACTTGTAAAAGACAATATAAAGCTGTTCCTCACAAGTACATTGTTGATGCTGATAAATGTTTGCTTCTACATAGTATGTGTTTGACATCTTGCGTATAGAACCATACTAAACCTATAGATTGATGTGAATCCCTTTTGGTGATTTTTATCCAGCTTTGTTACTTTCTTTACACTGCAGTTGTTTTAATTGGCCTTATGTCAGGAGATAGAAATTATATATATTTGTTTTCCTGTTTAGTTCTAGAGTAGATGGTGAAGAGCTTCCTGAAATTCGTATTGAAGCTGCTTCTCCTGCAGGTCCAAGAGTGACATTCAACATTCAAGATAGCGTAAGTATAATACTCATACTTGAATGGCCCATCTCAAAAGAATCTGAGCTTGTGCTCCCATTTGTTGGGTGGTTACTTATCAAAGTTATCAAGTATTTTCCCATACTTCACATATTATAAAAATTACCCCTGCCTCCCACAGCCCTCTTGCAATATTAGTGGGGTTCTGTTATCCTCTTCACACAGCCTTTTTGATACTAAAGTCTACAAAAGCGGCAGAGGTTTTAGAGTGCTATTGTATACAGATGAACAGGGGGTACAATCTTAGATTGAAATGATTGGAACCCTTGCTTGCGAAAAAACCAGGTAATTGCAGGAGATGGGGTCCCCTCCATGTTAGTACATGGAAGATTCAGAATCCCCTGAAAATTAATATTATATAATTCCATTTAGAGTACCAGTATTTACATTAGAGTGCCCATTTCAAAACCAATTTTTTTTGTGTAGAAAACTTTTATGTTCTTACAAGTTATTTAGTTTCCATTTATTTTTATTTATAAAGGTGATGTTACAGGGTAACATTTTGGACTCTAATTTGTTTTTGGTTTAATTATTAATTCTATTCACCTTACTGGATAAAATCACCTTACTATGAGTCCTCTAAGATACATGTATGATTTAATGTACTAATGTAAGCTTTGTCTTTGTATTACGTTTATTGGTTTATGAGTGTTATCTTAAATCAAGTGTTTTTATTTTTTTCTTTTTCAATAAATGAAGTTAAATAAAACAGTTTTAGGGATAAATCGTCACTCTCGCAGTTCTTGGGAGGAAGGGTATTTCAAGGTATTTGTAAATGGAAAACTGTCAATTTCACACTAACTTCATGCAAATGTTAATTACTTTTAATCTTTACCACCTAAAACTAAGTAAATGTGCATCAAGCAGTTTTATTTATTGCCGGTGCTAAATCAAATGCTAAATAGCATAGTTATATGAATTCCTTTAGTATCAGTGGACAAATGAATCGGTCTGTAAGAATCACTGATATCCTCATTGACATTTGGGTCATAAATGAAGTTACACTATAGACTACTCCAGTTACTCTAACCAACAAATATACCACATATAAATGTGGAAAAGGTACATGGGGTTTTTGCTTGCATATTAAAGCTAAGGATAACTTGAACTGTGGTAACTGTGACCAAATAGTACAAATGGGGGGCAATAGACTATTTACCAGTCTGAATGCCTCCTGCAGCTGATTATTTCCCCATTACTGATTTACCATTTCTTGTTCTACAAAGTGTCTTTGTGTGGAGGAAGCCACACCAGCAGGACTTTCCTCCCTCACATCAGAGCTTCCCATGGATGACAATTTGATGACTGATTATTATACAGGATTTATTATTATACAGGATTTCTATAGCGCCAACAGTTTGCGCAGTGCTTTACAATATAAGGGAGACAGTACAATTACAATACATTTCAGTACAGAAGGAATGTGAGGGCACTGCTCTTGGAGCTAACAATCTAAAGGAAGGGGGCGGTGATACAAAAGGTGATAGCTGCGGGGGATGATCTGGTGGAGGCGATTCAAGTACAGTTCTTAGGTGGAGGTGGGGTAGGCTTTCCTGAAGAAGTGAGTTTTCAAAGATCGCCTAAAGGCAGACAGGGTGGGGGCTGACCAGGCATGCTGTGGTAGGGAGTTTCAGAGGATGGGAGAGGCTCTGAAGAAGTCCTGGAGGCAAGCGTGGGAGGAGGTGATGAGGGAGCTAGAGAGGAAGATATCATGGGAGGAGTGGAGTGGGCAATATCTGTGGATGAGGTTGGCGATGTAGCTAGGGGCAGTGTTTTGGATGGCTTTGTAAGCTGTGGTTAGTATTTTGAATTTTATACGTTGGGTTAGTGGAAGCCAGTGAAGGGATTGGCAGAGAGGGGCAGCAGTCGCTGATCGGTTGGTAAGGTATATGAGTTTAGCAGCATAATAGACTGAAGGGGGGATAGCCTGTGTAACGGTAGACCAGTGAGGTGGGAGCTGCAGTAATCAAGGTGGGATATAACCAAGGCGTGGATAAGTTGTTTTGTGGTGTCATTGGTCATAAAGGGGTGGATTTCGGAAATGTTGCGGAGTTTGAGGCGGCAGGATTTAGCCAGTGAGTGGATGTGGGGGCCAAAGGAGAGGTCAGAGTCTAGGATTATGCCTAGCACCCTGTCATGAGGGGAAGGACCAATGGTTGTGCTGTTGATCTTAATGGGAAAGTCGTGAGTGGGGGATTGGGGAGGAGGAAATATTACAAGCTCAGTTTTTGAAAGATTGAGTTTAAGGTAGTGATGTGACATCCATGCTGATATGTGCTTAGTAGATTTGTGATATGTGAGGAGACTGAGGGGGTGAGCTGGGGAGTGGAGAGATAGATCTGGGTGTCATCAGCATATAGGTGGTATTGAAAGCCATCGGAGGTTATCAGTTGGCCCAGGGAGGAGGTATACAGCGAGAAAAGGAGGGGCCCAAGGACAGAACCTTGGGATACCCCAACAGGAAGAGAAGCGGAGGAGGAGGAGTTGTATGTGACACTGAAAGTGTGCTGAGAAAGGTAAGAGGAGAACCTGGAGGGAGCAGAGTCACGAAGGTTGATGGAGTGGAGTTTACTGAGGAGGAGCGAGTGGTCGACTGTGTCAAAGGCAGCGGAAAGGTCAAGGAGTATGAGTATGGAGTAGTGGCCGTTGGTTTTAGCAGTTAGTAGGTCATTAGTGAGTTTTAGTAGGGCAGTTTCTGTGGAATGTTGTGGGCGGAAGTCAGACTATCGGGGATCAAGAAGGTTGTTGTCGGTGAGGTAGCAGTTCATATGGTTGTGAACAAGGCGCTTGAGAAGCTTGGAGGCAAACGGGAGCAGGGTGATGGGTTTTAAGTTATTCAAACAGGTGGGGACTGGCAAGGGTTTTTTTGAGAATGGGGGTAACCAGTGCATGTTTGAGTGGGGAGGGAAAGGTACCCATGGAGAGTGAGAGGTTGAAGATGTGGGTTAGAGAGTTTAGGATAGAGCAGGAAGGAGGCTGCAACAGTCGTGAGGGGGACAGGATCCAGGGGACAGGTGGTGAAGTGGGCCTTGGAAAGGAGTTCGGTAACTTCCTTGGTGGTAACAGGGTCGAAGGAGGAGAGTGTTGAGTTTGGTGTTGGGCCTGGTATGTTGGTTAGAGGAGGAAGCTTGACACTGGAGATCTCATCACGAATTGTGTGGATCTTCTTCAAATGACTGGCAATCTCCTGTGCAGTAAGTAAGTTGATGGAGGCAGTGGGGGTGGAGTAAGGGATTAAGGGTAGAGAAGAGTTGACGAGGATTGGATGAGAGGGTCTTGATGAGACTGTTGTAGTAGGTTTGCTTAGCAGCGTGGAGGCTGGAGTTTTATTTGAGAAGAGCAGATTTGTAGAGGGTAAAGTCTTTCAGGGATTTCGTTTTACGCCATGCTCGCTCAAGAGTGTGGCTGTGTCTCTTGAGACTTCTGGTGTCATCTGTTTGCCAGGGTTGTGACAGGTGAGGCCTGGTTCTGCGTGTAGAAAGAGGAGCAAGAGCGTCCAGGGAGGATGATAGATAGTTGTAGGCAGATGTAGCCAGCTCTGGGCAGGACAGGGCTGCAATTTCATCATAGAGGCGCTCAGTAGCGGAGTGAAGAAGGTCAGGGCTGAGGTGGTGGAGGTTTCTACAGGTAATGGTTTGCTGGTTGGAGGCATGGGAGGTAGGAGGCAGGGAGAGTGCGAAGCTGATAAAGTTGTGATAAGAGAGAGGAAAAGAGGTGTTAGGGAGGTTACAGGGAGTGCATAGGTGGGTGAATACAAGGTCAAGGGTCTGCCATTGGAGTGGGTGGTGGATTGTGACCATTGTGTTAGGTTAAAAGAGGAAGTTAGGTTGAGTAGTTGAGAGGTGGCAGTGGTGTGAACATTGACTGGGATGTTAAAGTCACCGAGGATGATGGCAGGCACCTCAGAGGAGAGAAAGTACAGTAGCCATGATGAAAAATCATCAAGAAAGGGTGACACTGGGCCTGGGGGCCGGTAGATGACTGCGATCCTCAGACAAACAGGAGAAAAGAGATGAATACAGTGCACTTCAAAAGAGCGGAGGGACAGAGAAGAAGGGGCAGGAAGAACCTGGAACGTGCTTTGTGGGGAAAGAAGAAGTCCAACTCCGGCCCCTTTTTGTCCACTGGGTCTGGGCAAGTGAGTCCAGAGGAGGCCGCCATGGGAGAGTGCAGCTGAGGAGACAGAGTCGGAATCCTGGAGCCAGGTTTCAGTAATAGCAAGTAGGTTGAGGGAGTGGGAGAGGAAGAGGTCATTGGTAGTAGAGAGTTTGTTAGAGGCTGAGCGGGCATTCCAGAGGGCACATAGGAGGGAGGGGTTGGTGCGTGGAAGCAAGGGTAATTGAGATGAGAGAGTGAGGGTTGCAGCTGTGGCCAGAGAAGGGAGGCTGCTGCTTCTGTGGTTTGGAGTTTGATGGTGGAGGGCCAGGGTTTGGGGCAATGTCTCCAGAAGTTAGTAGTAATAGGAGGGTGAGGGAGGGTGAGGTGGGAGCGAGATTTATATGAGGGCAAGTGCCGCAGTGATTTTGTAGCGGTGACATTATGTGGACCAAGAGAGAGCAGGAGATAAGTGCAGTGATATTGAGAGGGCAGAAGTGAGGGTGATATGTACAGGTTGTGGGGTGGGGAGGGAGGGGTAAACAAGAGAGAGTTTGAAAAGACAGAGCATTATAGCAAGAAAGAGAGTTAGCAAGAGCATGCTGGAGAAATAACAAAGGCAGGCTGATGGAAAGAGGTAAGAGAGGGAAGAGCACATGCAATCTACTTGAGGTGGAAGCACTAATGTTTGTACTTGCCTTAGTCAAAGTGCCATTTTTAAAAGTGCCATGTACTCAGCGCCGTAATGCTTACTTTACGCAAGGAATGCCAGCCGTCCCAAGGGACTGTACTAGGCAATCGTTCAATTTTATACTTGGATGCAAGCAGGGGGGATAAGGCAAGGTGTTTGATCTCAGGGGGAATATTCAAGAAGATCTCAAGTACAACTTGCTCTCAGAGGCACATTACTCAGCGCCGTAATGCTTACTTTAGGCAAGGACGTCAATTTAAAAGCTATCGTTAAATTAAGAGCTAATACACATGGCGGATGTGTTCTACCCTTAACAAATTGTAAGCAGGATGGACACAAGATAAGGCAAGGTGTTTGATCTCAGCTAAGGCACTGTGAGGCTAAGGTCACTTCATACAGGCAAGTATACACAGTAGTTACAAAAAAAACAAAAACAGGGATGATGAGGGAATATTCAAGAAGATCTCAAGTACAACTTGCTCTCAGAGGCACAGTAATGAAATCACCAGCAGTGCCTTAAATGATATACAGCTATAATACTATAGATACTATAGACATGTGCTGCTATTTTTGTGGTGAAATTCAAGACAGAACAAATATGCAGTTTAGTTTGGGGCACCAGTTCTCAAAAAGTGTACTGGGAAACTGGTGAGAGTGCAGTGAAACGCAACCAAATTGATAAGAGGCATGGAGGACCTCAGCTATGAGGGAAAATTAGCTTAACTGAATGTATTCTCTCTTGAGAAGCGCCGTTCTTCAGGGTGATATGATCACCATAGCAAAGTTATTCACTTTAAAGGATAAGTTCACTTGTTGTATCATGGTACACCTGTATTCAGGTTGTAACATGAGACATGTTACTGTTGCAGCAGCCCCTGCACCCCCCTTTCCCAACACCTCTGTTGTGACAGCAATCCGGGTATCCTCTCACCGCATCTGCTGTCACAGTTTTAAAAAATGCGGCCATGCAGGACTCCTGCCTCCCGACCGCGTCATTCATCCACAGTGTTCTGTTAATGGGAGAACTACAAGTACTGTCAGCTTTTGCAGCAGTCACTTTTAGTTACCAGTGAACTAAACTACCAGGGCGCTGATGAGCACCCTATGTAGTTTACTGATGCTTCCTGCCATTCAGGTACGAGCAGACAGATACACAGATTGTCTGCAGGAGTCTTGCATTGCACCTGTGATCTGCTGATCGCAGGTGCAATGCTTCGCAGGCTCGTAGTGAAAAGAAAATAAATAATACCTGCACATTTTTTTACCTGCAAAAATGATTTTTTTTCCCCCTTGGTGGAACAAATGAGACCATGCTTTAAGGATTTTTTGCCATTCTCTGGACCAACTGAGGGTATAGGGTTCTCAATATGCAGGTTTTTTAAATATGATTTATTCATTTTTTTCCATTTGAGATGGGAGAAAGCAAACCCCCCCCCCCCATGTCAAAATATAGCATAGGGTTTTGGAGAGTCTAACCAGATAATGTTAGTTCTGAAACTTGTGGTATACAAGGATGCCAAATTTTGTCCATTGATGAAATAACAAATGCATCCCTTTGCCGGCAGTAAAAAGATATTGCTGTACATTTACTACATATATTTGCATGAACAGTTTCTTTCACTATTAGACCTTTAATTTTCAGGAAATCTTGGTGAACCAGACTACCATCTTTACAACTGCAGTGCTTACATTTTTATTTGCTCTTGGTGGCTGGGTGTCCTCCATATCTGTGTGCTGTTATTGATCACAACATTAATCCATCCCATCTCTTCTATTGTTCACCAGCTCATTTGTGTCTCTTGTTATGGAAATTTCTTGGGATTTTGCCACTGTTTTACCTATCAGTCTGGCAGTGTTTTCAAATTACCTGCCAATCTTTTTCCTGGTAATGAGATCTAAACATTGCCATATAACTGTGTTTTTTTTTTTTGTTTGTTTTTCTATTCCCCCTGAAACAGTTTCCAGAGGAGGTAGATGGTGATCTGTTGTCAGTTACCATTGATGGTCCATCTCATTACTCATCCATTAGTGATGGTGCACATCCTGTGTTCAGTTCCCCAAACACCCCACTAGTGTTTTCACCAGGCATTCCTTTCCAGACTGAAGAAAAACGAGAAGATACTTCTTCCTCATCCTCTGAGGAGTCTGAAAAAGAGGAAGACCATGAAAGGGAGAAGATGTATATATACAGGAAACCTCAGTGAGTATTCTTCTATTTCATTTTAATTACTGCCTTAAAATGAGCAGTTGTATAACACATTTGTAGTCAAATCTAAAAAGAGTATTTTTTAAAAATATTTTCCCACTTAGCTACAGATACTGTATTTCTTACTTTTTTTTCTATTTTTTTACTATATACATTTTTCATTTTGGAGACTGCACATACAGTGCAAACATGACCAGTATACATTCCTCCCTTTACAATAATAGCAAATAGCATTATAAGCAGTACAAATAGAAGGCCAAACCGAATGCCATCAAATGCATATCAATGTTTCTGGGTTCTGGCTTGTAAGATTCTCTAGAAAATCTTATTAGTTTCTCTCTCAACTTCTCTTTAAGCATTCAGAGAATATAGGAAAAAAATTAGACAGAAATAGCGTGAAGAGCATCACCTTTGGAAAGTCAAGCTAAAATTACAGTAAAAATCACACTGCGTCCATTTGCCATTAAAAATGTATGGCACACCGAAGGGCGTTTCTTGTCTTGCCGTGATCCCAGCACGATTTGGTATGTCTATAGTAACTTTTTATTTATTTAGTCAGGACAAACAAGTTCAACACAATAATAATGTTCAGCCACATGATTGCAGGAAAGAAAATCGCATCATAAATGGCCTGCCTTACTCATACAGATATATGTATATATCCATAAGTAAAATAGTGGTTGGGTAACCTTGCAAAACAAAAACCTTTAGAAGTCCACTCACACCTATGAATAAATCCTGCCAATACATATACATAGGTTAGTCATGTTTTTTAATTGTTTGCAAGGAAAGCTATAAATCCATCATCACAGCCCAAGCTGAGAATGTGGTATGGAATCTCCTGCAGATGTAACCACGCATGTTCCCATATTCTTCTCCCAGCTTAGGACTGAAGAGCACCCATAACATATTTTTCCTTTACTAAAAAGCAGCTATCAATCCATCCTATTCCTGGTAAGTGGTCCAGTGCTCCAAACTTCTTGTTGATTCATGATGTCACACCAGAGCAGAATCAGAAATTGCCAGGCATAAAAGAGAACTTCCTCCTGCAGATCAGCATGTAAGATAATGACGGTACTGCTCAATAGGTAAAGGATTGTCACTGGCAGCAGTGATTTTTCAACAGTAGAATTTGTCTTTGACAGGGATCTCTCCTTCTAATATGGCTACTTTAAAAAAGCAAATATTGGAGTTGCATAACAGATCCCTCCAGGATACCTGGTGTCTTAGAAAGAGCTGACTGAATGACCAGCCCTTTCCCTACAGGCTGATATCTGTCTGTCCACTTATCCACTTATGCACAACCTCCACCTCCCTGATACACATTTGGAACCCACTTTTTCTTTTAAGACGCCCATGAAATAAGCACTCACAGCTTATCCAACAAAAAACGTCATAGTGATTTGAAGGTATTAATCAATTAGCATACATTCTTTTATACATAAGCTCATGGATAAAAATATATTTCCTTTACATTCTCAGTTGATGTTTTTCAACTATACATACTATATATATACAGTAAGGTCCATATATATTGGAACATCGAAACAATTCTAACATTTTTGGCTCTATACACCGCCACAATGGATTTGAAATGAAACGAACAAGATGTGCTTTAACTGCAGACAGTCAGCTTTAATTTGAGGGTATTTACATCCAAATCAGGTGAACGGTGTAGGAATTACAACAGTTTGCATATGTGTCTCCCACTTGTTAAGGGACCAAACGTAATGGGACAATTGGCTTCTCAGCTGTTCCATGGCCAGGTGTGTGTTATTCCCTCACTATTCAATTACATTGAGCAGATAAAAGGTCCAGAGTTTATTTCAAGTGTGCTATTTGCATTTGGAATCTGTTGCTGTCAACTTCAAGATGAGATCCAAAGAGCTGTCACTATCAGTGAAGCAAGCTATCATTAGGCTGAAAAAACAAAAAAAACCCATCAGAGAGATAGCAAAAACATTAGGCGTGGCCAAAACAACTGTTTGGAACATTCCTAAAAAGAAGGAACGCAGCGGTCAGCTCAGCAACACCAAAAGACCCGGAAGACCACAGAAAACAACTGTGGTGGATAACCGAAGAATTCTTTCCCTGGTGAAGAAAAACACCCTTCACAACAGTTGGCCAGATCAAGAACACTCTCCAGGAGGTAGGTGTATGTGTGTCAAAGTCAACAATCAAGAGAAGACTTCACCAGAGTGAATACAGAGGGTTCACCACAAGATGTAAACCATTGGTGAGCCTCAAAAACAGGAAGGCCAGATTAGAGTTTGCCAAATGACATCTAAGAAAGCCTTTACAGTTCTGGAACAACATTCTATGGACAGATGAGACCAAGATCAACTTGTACCAGAGTGATGGGAAGAGAAGAGTATGGAGAAGGAAAGGAACTGCTCATGATCCTAAGCATACCTCATAAGTGAAGCATGGTGGTGGTAGTGTCATGACGTGGGCATGTATGGCTGCCAATGGAACTGGTTCTCTTGTATTTATTGATGATGTGACTGCTGACAAAAGCAGCAGGATGAATTCTGAAGTGTTTCGGGCAATATTATCTGTTCATATTCAGCCAAATGCTTCAGAATTAATTGGACTCCGCTTCACAGTGCAGATGGACAATGACCCAAAGCATACTGCAAAAGCAACCAAAGAGTTTTTTAAGGGAAAGAAGTGGAATGTTATGCAATGGCCAAGTCAATCACCTGACCTGAATCCGATTGAGCATGCATTTCACTTGCTGAAGACAAAACTGAAGGGAAAATGTCCCAAGAACAAGCAGGAACTGAAGACAGTTGCAGTAGAGGCCTGGCAGAGCATCACCAGGGATGAAACCCAGCATCTGGTGATGTTTGTGCGTTCCAGACTTCACGCTGTAATTGACTGCAAAGGATTTGCAACCAAGTATTAAAAAGTGAAAGTTTGATTTATGATTATTAATCTGTCCCATTACTTTTTGCTCCCTTAACAAGTGGAAGGCACATATGCAAACTGTTGTAATTCCTACACCGTTCACCTGATTTGATGTAAATACCCTCAAATTAAAGCTGACAATCTGCAGTTAAAGCACTTCTTGTTTGTTTCATTTCAAATCCATTGTGGTGGTGTATAGAGCCAAAAATGTTAGAATTGTGTCGATGTCCCAATATTTATGGACCTGACTGTATACATATACACACACACTATATTGGCAAAAGTATTGGGACGCCTGCCTTTACACACACATGACCTTTAATGGCATCCCAGTCTTGGTCTGTAGGGTTCAATATTGAGCTGCCCACCTTTTGCAGCTATACCAGCTTCACCTCTTCTAGGAAGGCTGTGCACAAGGTTTAAGAGTGTATGGGAAAGTTTGACCATTCTTCCAGAAGCGCTTTTGTGAGTTTAGGCACTGATGTCTGATGAGAAGGCCTGACTCGCAGTCTATGCTCTAATTTATCCCAAAGGTGTTCTGTTGGGTTGAGGTCAGGACTCTGTGCAGGCCAGTCACGTTCCTCCACCCCAAACTCGCTCATCCATGTCTTTATGGACCTTGCTTTGTGCACTGGTGCGCAGTCATTTTGTAACAGGAAGGGACTATCCCTAAACTGCTCCCACAAAGTTGGGAGCATGAAATTGTCCAGAATGTCTTGGTATGCTGACGCCTTAAGAGTTCCCTTCACTGGAACTAAGGGGCCAAGCCCAACCTCTGAAAAACAACCCACACTATAACCCCCCCACCACCACCACCAAACTTTACACTTGGCACAATGCAGGCAGACAAGTACCGTTCTCCTGGCAACCGCCAAACCCAGACACATCTATTGGATTGCCAGACAGAGAAACGTGATTCAGTACTCCAGAGAACACGTTTCCTCTGCTATAGAGTCCAGTGGCGGTGTGCTTTACACCGCTGCATCCGACACTTTGCATTGCACTTGGTGATGTAGGGCTTGGATGCAGCTGCTCGGCCATGGAAACCAGTTCCATGAAGCTCTCTATGCACTGTTGTGCTAATCTGAAGGTAATCCGAGGTCTTTAGCTATTGACTCTGCAGACAGTTGACGACTTCTGCGCACTGTGCAATTCAGCATACGCTGACCCCGCTGTGTAATTGTTCGTGGCCTACCCCTTGGTGGATGAGTTGCTCTTGTTCCCAGGTGCTTCCACTCTGTTATAATACCACTAACAGTTCACCGTGGAGTACTTAGTAGCAAGGAAATTTCACAGATGGACTTATTGCACAGGTGGCAGCCCACCATGCTTGAATTCACTGAGCTCCTGAATGCGACCCATTCTTTCACAAATGTTTGTAGAAGCAGTATGCATGACTAGTTGCTTGATTTTATACACCTGTAGCCATGGAGGTGCTTGAAAAACCTGAATCCAATGGTTTGGAGGGGTGTCCCAATACTTTTGGCAATATAGTGTGTGTGTGTGTGTGTATGTATGTATGTATATATATATGTATATATATATATATATATATATATATATATATATATATATATGCACACAGTTAGGTCCACATATATTTGGACACAGGCACAATTTTTGGTTTTTTCAGGTATTTACCAAAACATATTCAAGCTATAGTTATATAATGGATATGGGCTGAAAGTTCACACTCTCAGGTTAAATTTGAGGGTATGTACATCCAAATTGGAGGAAGGGTTTAGGAATTACAGCTCTTCCTCCCTTTTTCTAGAGACCAACAGTAATTGGACAATTGAATCAAAAGCTGTTTTATGGCCAGGTGTGGGCTACTCCTTCATTATATCTTTGTCAATTAAGCAGATAAAAGGTCTGTAGTTGATTCTAAATGTGGTCTGTTGCTGTGAACCTACATCATGCGTTCAAAGGAGCTGTCCCTGCAAGTGAAACAGGCCATTGTAAGGCTTCAAAAATGAAACAAATCCATCAGAGAGATAGTAGCAACATTAGGAGTGGCCAAATCAACAGTTTGGTACATTCTGAGGAACGAAGAATGCACTGGTGAGCTCAGCAACATAAGGCATGGACGTCAACAGAATTCAACAGTGGTGGATGATCGCAGGATCCTCTCTATGGTAAAGAAAAACCCATTCACAACATCCAGACAAGTGAAGGTTAGAGTCTACAATTAAGAGAAGATTTCACAAGAGCAAATACTAAGGGTTCACCACTTGGAGCAAACCATAATCCTGAAGAATAGAAAAGGCAGATTAGACTTTGCCAAAAAACATCTAAAAAAGCCAGACCAGTTCTGGAAAAGCATTCTTTGGACAGATGAAACTAAGATTAATCTGTACCAAAATGATGGGAAGAAAAAAGTGTGGAAAAGGCTTGGAACAGCTCATGATCCAAAGCACACAACGCCATCTGTAAAACATGGTGGAGGCAGTGTAATGGTATGGCCATGCATGGCTTCCAGTGACACTGAGTCATTGGTGTTATTGATGATGAGGCAGAAGCAGCCAAATAAATTCTGCAGTGTTCATAGATATACTGTCAGCTCAGATTCAGCCAAATGCAGCAAAGTTGATTGGATGGAGCTTCACAGCACAGATGGACAATGATCCAAAACACACTGCAAAAGCAACCCAGGAGATTTTGAAGGAAAAGATGTGGAATATGCTGCAATGGCCGAGTCATTCACCTGATCTCAACCCAATTGAGCATGCATTTCACTTGCTGAAGGCAAAACTAAAGGCAGACAGACCCACAAACAAAGAACAACTGAAGACAGCTGCAGTTAGCGCCTGGCAAAGCATCAGAAAGGAGCAAACCCAGTCTTTGGTAATGTCCATGGGTTCCAGACTTCAAGCAGTCATTGATAGTAAAGGATTCTCAACAAAATATTAAAAATGAACATTTTATTTATGATTATATTCATTTGTCCAATTTAATTTCAGCCCCTGAAAATGGAGGGACTGTGTACAAAAATGGTTGCAGTTCCTAAAATTCGTACTTGATATTTATGTTCAACCCCTTGAATTAAAACTGAAAGTCTGCACTTCAAATTAATTTGGATTGTCTCATTTTAATTTATTTTGGTGGCACACAGAGCCAAAAGTATAAAAATTGTGCCTGTGTCCAAATATATATGGACCTGTGTGTGTGTGTTTACATATATATTTATAATATATATAGTATTTAATATATATATATATTATATATATAGTAATTAATGCGCCAATTCCTAAATGTTTCATACACTCTTATTTTCATGCACACACACAGAAGACACTTTTGATTAAATGTTTATATCAGTGTTAATATTTGGTTGCTGTTATTTTTGTAATATTTGTGTAAATTCAACTGTAAGTCGTGCTACAAATGTAATTCTCTTTTATTATCCTTATAGGCAAAGTAGTCGCAAGAAATCCTCTGGATTTGCTGCAGTCCATCAACTTTTCACAGAGCGTTGGCCTAGCACACCATCCAACCGCAATGTATCCAGCACTACCACTGAGAGAAATATAGACTTTGAACTAGACATAAGAGTGGAAATTGACAGTGGTAAATGTGTGCTGCATCCCACAACTCTGCAACAGGACCATGATGAAATCAGTTTGAGAAGGTAATCTGCAAAGCCTACTTTTACATGTACTGTAGCTGTAGTACAGACAAAAGGTGATGTTGCAAAGAACCAATTGAATCAATATGTGTTTATACAGAAATCTTCTGGAATTACTTCTCAACCATGATCCAGCATCAGATCTTTGTTAAAAGACTGAATCTGATTGGTGGCCAAAAGATAAAGCAGAACTACAGGCCACATCATGATGGCTGGGCTTTTTCCATAATGTCCAACTAGTCACAGATAGTTTTGCACATTATGGTACACTTACCTTCCATAGTGTCCCCTTTTTTTTTCCCTTGTGATGCAGTGTTTGCCCATGTTGCTCTGTCATCACCACTGATATCACCCGCCATTCTTCCAGGATTGGCATCTTCAGATATTTTTATCTTTTAAGGAAAAGTTTATTAGTGTTTCCAGTGCACTAGACATATCTGAAACATCCAGTTTTCCAAAGAGGCATCTAGCTGGCTTGCATATATTTGGTATTGTCAGAAGATAATCTGTTATATCTAAACAGTAAGATCTTATTATGAGACATTGCAATACCATGTGAAAAAAGGTTCCATCAGCAGAGCCACATCTGTGACTTATCAAAGTGGGAAATCTTCAGCTACCTTGACCGGCCATCCCCAGTCACATAGCTCCCATGTATACACACAAGAGTTACTTCACCCTTACACCCAAGGCATGCTGAGTGCACTGAGCCACCAAAAAATCACAACATTGTTGGCAGGCAGAAAGGTAGATTTATTGCTAAAAAGAAAACTCTTTTGCAAAAAAAAGTACCTTTCAGGCATTTTTTTTTTTTGCATTCCTTAGTTAAGGTTTTTTAATACATTACAAAATAGTAAATATGACATAAGAAAAAGGGAACGCACAGAGCCTGAGCCATATGTTGACAGATAATTCTCAGAAACTACAAGCAACTTTACACATAAAGATAGCATGGATACAAACCCCTTGAGTCCTGAAGGAAGGTGTAATGTGCCTGTGATATCCGAACAGAGAAGAGAATAAAACACATTAGGAAAAGTAAAGCACATACAAAATTGTGTGAAATTCTCTCAGCTATATAGGGTATAACACATAGAAGTAGACAGGTCTCTTGGGGTTTAAGATTACCTATCCTCATGTTAATGCAGGAGGGAAATATAAATCAATATGTCTGTTGATCTCAGTGCTCTATTATTAGAGTACAGACAAAGAGATACACAGAAAGAAGGCTCAGTCAAAAAACAAAGACACACATAAACAGAGCCAGAGTGCAGGACAGCAGACCAGTCCAAGGGAATGAAAATAGGGAAGTGGAAGTGAGAAGGACCTAGGAGGTCAAGCCCCCCTGCCAAAATTTGCCTGAATGTTAAAGGATAAGTTCACCTTTTGATAAATAATCAGTGCACTTTTTTTGCAGGTAAAACAATGTGCATTTATTAATTTTTGCTGCAGGAGCCTGTAAAGCATTGCACCAGTGATCAGCAGATTGCTGGTGCCATGCAGGTCTCCTGCAGATCTGTTAGTATATCTACTTGCCTGTACAGGATGTACAAGCAAGCAGATATACTGACATGAAGATTCAATGAACTGCTTTGGAGCACCGTGGTAGTTCATTGAGAATTACAAGCCGACAGCCGCTAGGGCTAAGTTTCTCATTTACAGATGAGTGACGCGGTCAGGCAGTCGGAGCCATGTGCGGCCACGTTTCTGTTTAGATTTGACAGCTAGTGGGGGGGGAAAGAAAATGCCCCGCTAGCTGTCAAAGCAGGGGAGAGGCAGGGAGCGGCGCCGGTGCTTTCATAACATGTAACGTTACACCCTGAATATGAAAGGTGAACTTATCCTTTCAGATTTTAGTACGAACACATTGATACATAAACAACAAATTATTTTTATTCTAAATGTGACTAAATTAAAATGGAATCTCACTCTTTCCCCATAAAAAAATTCCTTGTTAAAAAAATAAAAAGCAATGACACATAAAGCAAAGCAGATGATTCGGCATTTAAAGGGTAAGGCTGGCCATACATTATACAATTATCTGCAGATTTTCTGCCCAATTTCCTTTAGATTTACCTTCAACTATGTAGTGCAAGGGCCTGCCTAATTGGATACAACAAAGTTGTTTAGGTTTGTCCTCCTATTATATGGTTTTTGGTAAATCTAAACCAAAAATCTGCAGATAATTGTATAATGTATGGCCAGCCTAACTCAACTTTTATGGATGAAAAATATAGCAGATAAAAAAAATGTATATAGCATATGCAATTTCTAATAGGGCTATATTGTAACTTAATGTTATTAACAATTACCTTCCTTTTAAAACTGCCGTACTGTAATTTTCTGTAAAATTCAGTGCAAGATGGCAACCTGAATGCCTCCAAAAATGTAAATTCCTGCTTGGATGAAGAACTCTGCAGTAAGATACAAGTCAAGTTTTAGGCATCCCTTGCAACAAAAATTAAATTTTTTTGTGAGATACTTCCTAAGGATTAATCAGTTCTGAAGAAAGAGATGCAAACACTGCAGCTTTTCTCATCAGACTTCTCAAAGTGAACCAGCTGATTAAAATGAATTAGTCATTCCCACTCAGAATCACTGTGTACAGAACATTGTCTAACAACGAACTATACCTTCAGAGCAGAAATAGATAAAAAACTGCAACTACATTTGCTAAAATCCTTGCAATATATATTAATCACCCAAAGGGGGTCATTTTTTTTTGTCTCAACAAAATTGGAGTTACTCTATTATAAATGTAAGATACATATTTTTAATCTATTTTTTTAAGAGAAAGTACTGTATAATTATTTTGGTTAGTTGTATTTTGATCTTTTTATTTGAATTTTTACAAATTGATAAATTTTCTGCATAGGAGTTATGACAGAAGCTCACGTAGTCTTGACCAAGATTCTCCATCTAAGAAGAAAAAATTACAGAACAACTATGCATCTACCACTCATCTACTGGCTGGAAAGAAAGTGCCATCATCTCTCCAAACAAAGTCAAGTGACTCAGAAACTACAGTTTTTTATATTCCTGGAGTTGATGTGAAGGTATATTACTTGACTGTGGTATGCAAATACAGACAGGGATGAACTTATAATAGGATTTGTTTGTATTCATGGTAAAATCGTTTTCTCTGTGTTCATTAAGACATTTTAATTTTTTTTCTCTCATCAATCCAACCTTTTTTCAGTCAAGGCACCCTTTAAAATTATGTACAGTCCCGAGGCACCCTTTAAAATAACGGACAGTCTTGAGGCACCCCATTCTAAAATAGGGTACCTCTAGACCATAATTTTAAAAGGGCACCCCATTCTAAAATGTGAAAGACTATTCTAATAGTTTTATATAACACAACAACATTCATACATGTAGGGCACTCAACATTGGAGGTGATTTATTCTTCCAAAGCAAATAAACATTTGCACACTATTACTGACTAGTATTCCACTGTTTTTCTTTTCCTTCAGTTTTTCTCCATCACTGAGCTGATGTGACCCCAGCACTGATGGAAAGGGACAGGGGAGGGTCAAACTAGGCTGTTGTGCAGGCAGCTGACATCCTCCTTATCAACTGATGATGTATTTGGTTGTCAGAATGCCGGTGGCTAGAATATTGTAATGGTGCACAATGAAAACCTATGGCTTTTTGTAACTAAAAGGCAGGCTTGTCCCACTCTCTGGCTTTTATACAAGTTTTGTGCAGTTTTTAGACATTTTGCCAAAGAATCCCTGAAGAAACCTCAATGCACCCCAGGGTGGCTGGGCACCCTGGTTGAGAAAGGCTGCATTAATCTATACTAAGTTCCCCTATAATGACAGTGAATTTTATAAAAGTTTGCAAATGTACAAAAAAAGAAAATCTGAAATTTCACATTGGCATAAATATTCAGACCCTTAGCAACCATGATTGGAGTCCACCTGTGGTAAATTAAATTGCTTGGATTGGATGCTTTGGAAAGGCACACACCTCTCCATAAAAGGCTTCACAGCTGACAATTCATACTGTATCAAAGCAAAAGACTTGCGGTTAAAGCAATTGCCAGCAGAGCTCAGAGACAGGATTATTGCAAACTACAGATCTGGGGAAGGCTACAAAAAACTTTTGGCTTCACTGAAGGTTTCCAAGAGCACAGTGGCCTCCATAATTGTCAAATGGAAGAAGTTTGGCACAACCATGACTTTTCCAAGAGCTGATTGCCCAGTCAAACTGAGCAATTGGTGGAGAAGGGCCTTGGTAAGAGAGGTGACCAAGAACCCGATGGTCACTGTGACTGAGCTCAAGAGATCCTGTGTGGAAATGGGACAAATTTCCAGAAAGACAACCATCACTGCAGTTCTCCACTGATCTGGGCTTTATGTCAGAATGGCTAGATTGAAGCCTTATGTGGAGATGGGAAACAAGCATCTGAAGAACAAGATTCTCTTGTCTGATGAAATCAAGATTGAACTGTCTGGCCTCATTTCTAAATGTTATGTCTGGAGGAAACCAGGCATCACCTGCCCAATACCATGCCAACAGTGAATGGTGATGGCAGCATGATGCTGTGGGGATGTTTTTCAGCAGCAGGGACTGGGAGACTGGTATAGGTTTAGGGAAAGCTGAATGGAGCAAAGTACAGAGATAAAAGCAAGGGAAAAACGGGAAAAAATTGTGCCACATCCCTGAATATAACATATGATCAAAAATCAGAACTAATAGAGTGGGACTTTTGAGGCAATGCATTATACAGTAAAATTCTATTGTATCCATATACAAAAAATAGATCATATTACCACATGAATTTCTCTAAAGATTGTTTCAACAGTTCAGCGTAATAAAATACATAGTTTACTCATAGGATGCATCAAGTTCACAAAGTGATATGTTAGAAGCTGGCCCGACATGTTTCTTGGACAAAGTCCACTTCTTTAGGAGCCAATCTTTACATCAAATTCTAGAAGATATCAATACAGATTAATATAATAAATTAAATTCAATCAATAATAACTAACATCCCACAGAATAGTTCTAAAATATTGATCTAGCACACCCAAGGGGTGAAGGGAGGAAGAAAGGGAGGGGAAGGAAGGGGTGGAACAGGAGAGTAAGGGGCGAAGCAAGGATGAGGCTAACAATGAAAAGCAAAGTACAGAGATATTCTCAAAGAAAACTTGTTCCACAGCACTCAGGACCTCAGTCTGGGCCAACGATTCACCTTCGAACATGACATCGATCCTATGCACACAACCAAGACAACACAGAAGTGGCTTAGGGACAACTCGTGAATGCCCTAGAGTGGCCCAGCCAGAGCCCTGACTTGAACCCTATTGAACATCTCTGGAGAGACCAACGGTCTCCATCCAACCTCACAGGGCTTGAGAGGATTTGCAAAGAAAAATGGCAGAAAATCCCCCAATTGCCAGCAGAGCTCAGAGACAGGATTATTGCAAACCACAGATCTGGTGAAGGCTACAAAAAACTTTCGGCTTCACTGAAGGTTTCCAAGAGCACAGTGGCCTCCGTAATTCTTAAATGGAAGAAGTTTGGCACAACCATGACTCCATCCAACCTGACAGTGCTTGAGAGGATTTGCAAAGAAAAATGGCAAAAAATCCCCCAATTCAGGTGTGCAAAGCTTGTCATGTCATACCTAAAAAGACTTGAAGCTCTAATTACTGCCATTCAGTAAAGCGTCTGAATACTTAAGAACGGTATATGTGATATTAAATTTTTTTGGTTTTAGTAAATTCACAGACATTTCTAAAATTCTGTTTTTACTTTTTTTTACCATCATGAGGTGCTGAGTGTAGACTAATGATAGAAAAAAATAATGTAGTTTCAGGCTGCAACATCACAAAACTGAAAAAAAGTGAAGGGAGTCTGACTACTTTAGGAATACACTGTATGTCAATCTACAGTTGCAAGAAAAAGTATGTGAACCCCTTGGGATTACGTGGAGTTTTGCATGAATTGGGCCTGAACGTCATCTAAGTCACAACAATAGAAGAACACAGTCTGCTGAACATAATACTACACAAACATTAGATGTTGCCATGGTTTAATTGCACATAAACATGTAAACATTCACAGTGCAGGGAGGAAAAAGTATTTGAACCTTTGGACTTAATAACTGGTTGACCCTCCTTTGGCAGCAATAACCTCAACCAAACGTTTCCTGTAGTTGCAGATCAGACCTGCACAACGATCTGGAGTAATTTTGGACCACTCCTCTTCACAAAACTGTTTCAGTGTAGCAATATTCTTGGGATGTCTGGTGTGAATCGCTCTCTTAAGGTCATGCCACAGCATTTCAATCGGGTTGAGGTCAGGACTCTGACTGGGCCACTCCAGAAGGCGTATTCTGTGCTGTTGCAGCCATTGTTTTGTTGAATTACTTGTATGCTTTGGGGGTCATTGTCCTGTTGCATCACCCATCCTCTGCGGAGCTTCAGTTGGCAGACAGATGGTCGTACGTTTTCCTGCAAAATGTCTTGATAAACTCTGGATTTCATTTTCCCATCAATGACAACAATCCGTCCAGGCCCTGAGGCAGCAAAGCAGCCCCCAAACCATGATGCTCCCTCCGCCATGTTTTACAGTGGGGATGAGGTTTTGATGTTGGTGTGCTGTGCCTTTTTTTCTCCACACATAGTGTTGTGTGTTCTTCCCAAACAACTCAATCTTGGTTTCATCTGTCCACAGTATATTTTGCCAGTAGTGCTGTGGAACATCCAGGTGCTCTTTTGCAAACTTCAAACGTGCTGCAATATTCTTTTTGGACAGCAATGGCTTCCTCCGTGGTGTCCTCCCATGTACTCCATTCTTTGTTTAATGTTTTTCCTTATTGTAGATGTGTCAACAAAAATGTTAGCATGTGCCAGAGATTTCTGTAGGTCTTTAGCTGACACTCTGGGATTCTTCTTTACCTCATGCAGCATTCTGCGCTGTGCTCTTGCAGTAATTTTTACAGGACGACCACACCTAGGGAGAGTAGCAACAGTGCTAAACTTTCTCCATTTGTAGACAGTCTGTCTTACCGTGGACACATTAACATCAAGGCTTTTGGAGATACTTTTGTAACCCTTTCCAGCTTCATGCAAGTCAACAATTCTTGATCGTAGGTCTTCTGAGAGCTCTTTTCTGCGAGGCATGGTTCATATCAGACAGTGCTTCTTGAAACCAGTAAACCCAAAACAGGTGTATGTTTTTTTAAGGGCAGGACAGCTGTCAGCAACACATCCAATATCATCACACTGATTGGAGTCAAGGTTGGCTCACTCCTGGCTCCAATTAGCTCTGGAAGAAGTCGTTAAGCTAGGGCCTCACATACTTTTTCCTCCCTGCACTGTGAATGTTTACATGTTATGTGCAATTAAACCATGGCAACATCTAATGTTTTGCGTAGTATTATGTTCAGCAGACTGTGTTCTTCTATTGTTGTGACTTAGATGACGTTCAGAGCACATTTTATGCCCAATTAATGCAGAACTCCACGTAATCCCAAGGGGGTTCACATACTTTTTCTTGCAACTGTATGTATATCTAATGCAAAGTTCTTTCCTATATTAAATTTCTTAATCAAAAAATATTACAGTATAAAGATTGCATTCCTAACTCATTAATGTTTAATAGACTCTTACGCACTTTCAATAGAAGTAGAAACTTTGTCTCACACAATTAGGGAGGAGTTGAGCTGGCTCATGCCTAATGTTACATGAAACATTCAGGCAGAGCAAGTGTGTGTGTGTATATGTATGTATATTTATTTTTTTTTCATCTAGATTTCTATAAAATCTGGGTTCACTTTTCCAAATATTGAACAGATAAAAATATAAAAATTCATCCTCAGGTCTACACATTCATACATATTAGTATTGTTAAGAAGCAGATATTGGCTATGAAATTAAAGAGGCTTCTAACAGCGTTCCCCAATGAAGCCAGAGCAAATGAAAGACCTCTGGGTGGAGAGACCACCCCCTAAAGCAATACCTGATGATTGGGATAGTCAGCCTGCCAATTGTCAGCTCTGGGAATGTACACCACACCATTGATTGAGCTGGAACATGTGTCTCCACCCAGCGAAGAATGTTGGACACCTCCAGCCCACGCAGCCACACTTCTTGCCCCTCCATAGTGATTGACAGATTCTGACGGTTTTGAACCTAGAGCAGCACTGAAAATGTACTTCACACTTTGCACCAGCTGATTGAACTCAACATAAACAGGGAAAACCTGCTCAGTTGCGAGACCCTCGTGCAGCAGTTTTGTCTACTCAGGTAGACCTCTTTCACTTGAGCAGTTGTGCTGCTGCTTGTTAAATGCATGCGGTTTTATTTTGATATTCCAATACTCCTGGTACAGATATCACTTGCATTTGTACAGTGCATTTATCTACGATTAAATGCATATACATACAGCTGCGTTTAGCTGCTGTAGTAAATTTTTGCCTTTTCTGTTTGCTAACTGCGTTTTATCTGCAGATAGCTGTGGTACATCGCTCCTGGAAACTCAGCTTTACTTTTCCTAAAAGAACAAAACCATATGTTAGGAAAACATTACTAAATGCAGTGTGTGAAAGGGGCCATAGGGATGCATTGTCTGCATTTAGCTGCAGTAAATAAGTTCCTCTATCCGCCGCTAAACGGTTGATTCTAACAACTCATGTGAAAGAGACCTAAATGTCTGAAAGACCAGTGCAAAAGTCAAAACTGGCCTCAGTATTCCTCTAGCCATGGTATTTGTTGCTGCCTCAGCTTTCCTACCTGTGGGGTCATTGAAGGGCAATGATTCCTTCACTGGAATGATTGTGGCTTTATTGAGACCAGATACCAGGGGATCCACCATAGGGGGGGAGGGGATATTTCTTTAAAGAAAGGGGTAGCGAACCGCAAAATTTTTAGGGGTTGTGAAAGTCTTAGTTGACAGTTCTAATGGATAAAATCATAGAAGGAGTGACACAGAAAAACTTTATTGGGATGTAGAACTCCTAGATTTGTGTGTACCATATATTACCAGGAAACTCCATAGGTTATTTTTAATAAAGTAGAAGTAAGGTCAAAACCTCATCCTCACTAAAGGACGAATACGGTGCAGTGTGGTCTGTTGGGGGAGGTAAAAGGTCCAGGAGACAAGTGAACCCCCAAGCCTTGCACATCAATGAGTCCTGTCCCAAAAGGTCCTCCAAAGAGAAACCAGCCACCCTCACATTCATTCAAGCTAGAAAGCAGCTATTACAGGAGTTAAGGCCATTAGCAAGCTAGAGGAGGGAACACTAGGAAGAGCAATCACGCTACCTTGACTCCTGTAGGGTGTGCTCAGTGGTCCATGTGTTGAGGTAGAAATGTAGAATCTCGCAGCAGTAGACAGGGAGAGCTCTTGGGAAACAGACAGCTTATTCTGCGTTCCTAGTGATCTAGTAGAGTGTATTCAAAAAGTGATGTCATGGAAGAACAGTGTGCCTTGAGTAAACATGGTGGCTGCAGCTTCTCGTTACAGTAGCCTGCCAACCACAGCCCTAATTACTATTACTAGTGCCCTGCTGCAGGACACTCGCACCCATGGGAGGGAGCGTCGGAGGAAGCAGAAACTGTGGGACATCAGGGGTATGCTGCCAAACCCCTAGTTACAGGCAGACTTTCATAAAAGTAGTGGCCGTCATATGGCCCCCCCATTGTCCTAAGTCCAGGAGAAGGTGGGGGGGATATCAAACCCAGAGATAAGTCTTGCTTTGCCCACACTGCCTTCAGGTACCACTGGAGGATTGGTGAGCCGCATCTGTCTCAAACCAGGGCATCAAATGCCTGTCTGGGAAAACACTGTAACAGGCTAGCCAGGATCACCAATCATATGTACATCCTCTGAGAGAGTTCTCAAAGTCTGCTCTGAGGAAATAGCTGTTTCAGACGAATCCACTGTTGTGAGGAATTGCATGCACTCAGTAGTCAGACTGGGGGGACTACAAAGATCCATATTATCCAGCTTTGTCACCCAGCTGACAGTAAAATAGTATCCCAGCAAGGATTCTGAGGTAAAAACACATACAAGAGGGTGCAGACTCCACATACATTACCTTCATAAAAATGTAATCAAATGCCAAGAGACAAAAAACATACAACCACATCCAGACAGCGGGCATATACAAGAAATACGGCCTGGAAAGGCTCGTCCCATCACAAAATTGTCTTGTAGGAAAGCTGACTCCGAAGAAGGGAGTCTGACTCCCGAAACGCGTTAGTCTCCTACCAGACAGTTCCGAGATGGGACAATCCTTCCGAGGCTGTATTTCTTATATACACCTGCTGTCTTGATGCGTTTGTGGGTATGTTTTTGTCTCTTGGCATGTGATTACATTTTATGAAGGTAATGCACGAGGAGTCTGTGCCCTCTTTTGTGTGTTTTTACAGTTTTTTGGAATTTCCCCAATTCATGGAGGACTGCACCCGAGGAAGCATTACACACTGATTCATTGAAGTACCCTGGTTTGAGCGCTGGATTGTTTGTTAGGAATTAAGGATTCTGAGGTACTAACTCATAATGAGGTTGGTCACCAGCAGGGGCCATCTCTAGGCTTTTTTGTGTTTGAACCTAGTGTTTCTACTCCTGCTGGGTGGCAGTATAATTTAGTGATCCCAGGTCTAAGGTCTTCAAGTTCCTTTTTAAGTATGTAATCCAGAGTTTTAATTGGTCCTGGTAGCATATTACTATATTCTGCTCAAAAGTGTGTTTTAAGAAAGAAAGAGTTGTGAAAATAGTAGTGTCACCAACACCAACAACAGTAACATGAATCCAAAAAGTTAAACATTTCACAAATGTTCAGTATTTAATCCAGCCCCAATTCTATGCTTCGATCATAGCTCCTTAAGTCACTGTGTATATGTGTTTTTTATTTTAGTTGCATTACAACTCAAAAACACTGAAAACTGAATCGCCAAATGCCTCAAGAGGATCATCTTTGCCAAGAACTCTTTCAAAAGAATCCAAGTTGTATGGTATGAAAGATACTGCACCATCTCCTTTACCTAGTACTGTCCACAGCAAGACTAACACATTGTTACCACCCCCACCCCCACCAATCCCTTCAGGTACTTTTCCTCTAACTTATCTATACCTGTAGCCTTTTTTATTATCTGCCTGTAACAATTGAATGTCTAGAAAACAACTTTGCATCACTTTTGTGTGGCTTTTCAGAAAATTATGTATTTTGTGGTGCTTATATTTTTCATTATTTTAGTCATATTTTTAGAACCAATGCAAATAGGCAAATGTGTAGTGATAATAGATTGGGCAATGTGAGCCTCCAGCTTCTGCCACCTACATATGGTTAGAGCAAAGCTTGGGCATATGATTAAAAAAATATGCAGAAACACGTCATCTGGGAATGAAATTATGTCAACGCCAGCAGCATATTCAAATATATACAGTAGTTTGCCAAAGTTATATGCAAATTTCCTGCAAAAAAAAACTTGGCTTCAACCTCCCACCTATAACTTTATCTGTATACTTGCAAATAAATTATATTTATCCTTTCTGCCACCCTTATCCACCCTACCAACATCAGCATTATCTAGCCCACCTCTTGAAATTCTGATATATACAGCCGTAATGCTTTCTTCCTGATAACCTTATTTTCTTCCCACTGTTTGCATGTGCACAGTAGAAATCCATAGACTTTCTGCTGAGACAGAAGGCACTAGCAATAGCCGTCTATAAAATTCTGCAGTATAGACAGAAGAAAGAAGATCAAGACTGGCAAGAAGTAAAACATTGCGGTGCACCAAAGGGTAGAGCCACATTTCACATTTGCAATAAAAGTTGCAATTTACATATAATTTTTATATCTTTAAATCTGATAGTTTTAAAAAATGGTTTTCACAAAGTAACAGCTGCTTATGTATTTTGTACTAGATGCCCAGACTGAATTTGCCAGGTTTGTGACATGTTCATTCTAAGGTTGAATGCAGAAGCACAACATTATGTGTTATTGATTAGGTCATGCTTTACCAACATTTAAACAGTGAGACTGGTTAAGAGTTCCCATCAGAAAAATCAGTGAGAGTCAGAGGCAATGAACCAGAGGTGAATAAAGTATGGTGGAAACTTGGCAGGAGTCACAAACCCCTACCAAATGCCTCCCATCCATTCCTGTACAGCAAGGGTCTCTAAACCTTCGAAACGAAGGGCTAGTGTACTGCCCTTCAATCTTTAGGGGGGAGGGCAGACTATTGCCAGTGAGAATAGAAAATACCCTGGCTTAAATGGAGTAAACAGTGTCATAGGCTTGGTGGTTAGTGGAAGAACAAAATTACATTGGTGCCAGTAAGAGGAATAGTACCCCATAACTGGTGTCAGTGGGAGAATTAGTTCCCCATATCTGGTGTCAATGGAAGGAATAGTACCCAACTTTGGTGCCATAGTTACATAGTTAGTCTAGTTGAAAAAAGACACAAGTACATCTAGTTCAACCAATAAAAGGGAAAAAAAAAAAATTATACAATCCTACACCCACAGTTGATCCAGAGGAAGGCAGAAAAAAAACAATAATGCTTGATCCAATTTGCTCCAGCAGGAAAAAAAAAATCCTTCCTGATCCCCGAGAAGTAATTGGATATTCCCTGGATCAACTTTACTTATAAATATTAGTATCCAGTTATATTGTGTACATTTAGTATAGAATACAGGACCTTTTTAATTCAATCTACTGAGCTGTCCAGAACCAGCTCTTCAGGGAGTGTATTCCACATTTTCACATCCCTTACTGTGAATAAGCCTTTCCGTATTTGGAGATTAAATCTCTTTTCCTCCAGATGTAAAGAGTGCCCCCCTTGTCCTCTGTGATAACCTTTAAGTGAATAACTCTACACCGAGTTCACTATAAGGACCACTTATGTATTTATACATGTTGATCATATCCCCTTAATCTCTTTTTCACAAGAGAGGAAAAATTAATTTCCTCTAATCTTTCTTCATAGCTGAGCTCCTCCATGCCTCTTATCAGTTTGGTTGCCCTTCTCTTCACTTTCTCCAGTTCCTCATTATCCCTAATGATTTGTATGGGAGGGGGGCGCCCTCTGGAGTTTATACCTCTCTTAATACAAGAAAGGACTTATTCGCTTTTGTAAACCGCAGCCTGGCATTGCATGCTATTAGGTGATACTAAACCTAAAAACATTTTTTTGCCTTAATGCATTGCTTGCATTAAGATAAAAAGCGTTTTCTAAGTTCCCTCTGTGAAGTGGAAGAGAGGGTAGAAGAGATTAGCACTGTGCACGGCTGCATCTCTTCTCCCCTTGCTTCCGCTTCACACAGGGACTTGAACAGCAGCAGGACCCATTGGCTCTTGCTGCTGTCAATCAAGTGTGTTAAAGAGGAAGAGGGGGCGGGTCTATATCCCGCTGTGTGTCTTTGGAGCGTGGCTCTCTAGGCACACAAGTCGGGAGCGTGCACACAGTGTTTTTCCCCATTGCAAACAGCTTGCTATGGAGACACACAAAAAAGAGGAGGAGCCAGGATCGCTGGCAGGGGACCCAAGAAGAGGAGGATTTTCAAAGCAGGACGTCTCCGCTGTCAAAATACTCTGATCTGTGCTGCAGCCTATTGGCTGTAGGCGCTGATTGAATTTAGACTTTCAAGCTTCTTTTATTCTGGACGGAAGTTTCTATCCATCAGTGGACAGCTAAAGGCTGATTACATATTACAGGTGAAATTTGAAACTGGAGAAATACTGCAGGAGGCTGTCAGAAACTGAGACATGTTATTAAACTGCTAGAGATTACAGTTCTTCTACAAGTCAATCACAACACCCTTAAAAACTTACTGGCACCATATTTGATAGCACTGTCAGCAAGTTCCATTACAAAAGGTTAGAAGTAAGAAATTACAGGGTAGAAAACTTAAGTAAGCGTGAAAGAAATAAATCAGATTATTTATTATTTATTTAGCTAGTAAAAACTAGTTTAATAAATATTTACCTTCACTGTTAGGTGATTACCTTCACGAGTAATCACCTAGGGAAGGAAAATACTAATGGCTGCTGGCAACACAGTGATTAGTACCAAAGGGCCCCAAGTTAAGCACCAGAGCTGTAAAGGCTCAGACTGGTAAAGTGAAAGGTGCACAAATTCAATGGACTGGTTTAAATGATACCTTTCAATAATTTTCAGTATAAAGGAAATATATTTAATTTTACAGCCAAAGGAAAGGGAAGTGGTGGAGTGAAAACAGCAAAATTGTATGCTTGGGTAGCACTGCAGTCTTTGCCTGAAGAAATGGTCATCAGTCCAAACCTGCTTGATTTTCTGGAGAAGGCCTTGGAGACCATACCCATTACACCAATAGAACGAAACTACGCTGGTAAATATTGCATTTCAATAATATATCTATTAAGATAGCAGGTATCAATGCTACCTTTGTTTAGGGGGTTATTTTGTATGTATTTCTTGGTGGTATTAACATAAAGATAAAATTACTAGAGCTTAATGGATTTTCACACTTGATGGGAAAGGTCATTAAAATCTTACACATTTCATATATAGCCAAGATGTTTCTCATTCTTACAGCTTGTCAGTTTTAATTTGTTTTTGTCTGTTACAGGAAGGGCTTTGTACTGGTGCCAAAGGCTTCATAAAATAGCCTTATCTTATGACTGAACAGGAACAGCGCTGATGCGGGTGGACGTACCCATACATCTTCCCGCATCGGCCACTTGTGTATGCTCTCTAGAGTGTGCAGTGGCATGATCTCTGACCAATGTGTCCAACCTACACAGCAGACCACCAACCATTGCATGGGCTGCTGTAAGTGGCCCTGGTACCATGTATTCGCTTTGACCAATCACAGTTACAGTAGTAAAGCTATTATCATATACTACTGTGGTATCTCTGTGATTTGTCACAGAAATCACATGGTACTAGGACCAATCACAGCTGCCCTGCACCATGTTATAGCTGTGACCAATCACAGTAGTAAACAAGGTTTCATGAATAAAACCTTTGAACAGTCTTCACGATTGCTTATAACAGTGATAATCACTGTAATAAGCAGTCACAAAAAAATAATAATCCTGATCAACTCCCCAGAGCACTACAGTGTCACTATGGTAACATAGCACTACTCTGGTGACAGTATGTTAAAAAAAAAAATTGTAAAACAAAAATAGATACATTTTGTTTATTTTAACATACTGTTAGCAGTCAATGTGCCTGATCACCGCCACAACAGTTAGTGTCCCTGATCACCACCACATCAGTTACAGTGTCCTTGATCACTGCCACATCAGTTACAGTGTCCTTGATCACTGCCACACCATTCCCAGTGTCCCGATCACTGCCACACCAGTCCCATTGTCCTTGATCACCTCACCAGTCATATTGTCCCTGATCACCGTCCCACCAGTTTTAGTGTCCTTGATCATTATTAGATGCTTAATTTATGCCACTAATTTTACAGCCTAAAGGTGCTCATCAGATTTTGGGCCTCTCTATATGGCTATGCTGTGAAAAAGACTAACATGCTATCGAGGAGTAGCAGATTGTGTTTTGGGGTGTAATTCTTAGTATGTCTACGATGGGTGTTAGAAATATCTTATTAAATGATAACTTTCTGTAAAAAAAAAAAAAAAATACATTTGAATTTTCGAAAAACGTGTGGTAAAAATTACATTTTTCAAAGGAATCACTATGGCTTCCAGAAAATACCTTTCTTCTATCAGCTAAATAATTGTTACCAACTCACATTTCCTGAATTTACTTTGACATATAATGTGTAGTACGTTTCATACAGTATCTTTTATTTTAGTATCATTACTGTTATTGTGGTATACTAGGAATAGCAGCTACATGCAATGAAATACATACAGTATATATATATGCTATGTGATTTAGAGAAATGTAAGCAAGTTATGGCATGTGTCAGAACTGCTTCACAGTAAATCTTATAAACCATATGTTCTCTTATTTCACCAATGTGCCTTTATTTGTGTGCTTTGTGCAAGTACTTACCTGTGTGTGTTTTTGCTTTATTACAGCAGTGAGTGCTCAGGATGAAGATATTGGACAGTTTGATCTGCAGGATCCATTGGAGGAGTCAACTACCTCATTAGTGTCCTCTTCAACCTCTGCCTATTCTTCCTTTCCAGTAGATGTGGTTGTGTATGTGAGAGTGCAGGTATGTCTAATTTATAAAACGTTTTATATTGCTAATTAACTCTTTTTGTTTTCTATTCAGCTGTTTTGTTTTCCAGAGTTTTATCCTTATTCTTATTTCTCTTTCTAGCCTTCCCAGATCAAGTTTAGCTGCCTACCAGTTTCACGTGTTGAATGCATGTTGAAGCTGCCCTCATTAGACCTAGTGTTCTCCTCAAACCGAAGTGACCTTGAGACACTGGGTTCAGCCCATCCTTCTGATGCTAATATTGGGAATCTCTCCATGCCAAGTGGATCAAAAGCAAACCTGAACAAATCTGGGATGACAGGTGAAATATTTGTTGACTTGTCTTTTAAGTTTGGTCTGCAGTACTTTTGAAATGGTGTGTAAGGTTTCACAGTAATGGGCAAGATTTTTAACTTGTAATAATTAAAGAGGCCAAGGTATATATAAAAACATGCATAGAGTTCATATATGCTTTGATAACTTACATTACACTTACTATACACTTTAACATGTTGTATGTGTAACTGGTTGTAGCTCTTCATACCAAAATCTCATCATGTCCCGAGCTTTGCATGCAATGATATGGCCTACACTGGCTGCAAAAAGAAGACATCTGAAAAACATCAGCACTAAGCACCTTTATACTCACCCAGTTCTAGAGGTTAACAATTCTTGGGATACATAAAAGAGAGAATGAGGTAGAGACACTTCAGCAGGTGTACCTTCAGTCGTGTATCATGAGATTTGGTCTACTCCATTTAAAAATAATCATTAAAGAAAAAAAATCTATCTTAGAAAACATGGTTTTTTTATATAGGATAATGCTGTTTTAAAGCATAATGGGAACCAATTAAAGAAAACAGTATAGAGAAAGATATTATTTTACAGGCAGCCAGTAACCATTTTAGTACAGGTATATGTTGGCAGTCCAAGGCCACCTGAGCCCTTCCCATACCTTACAGTGGCTTGAAAAAGTATTCATACTCCTTGAAATTTGCCACATTTTGTCATGTTACGACCGAAAATGTAAATTTGTTTTATTGGGATTTTATGTGATAGACCAACACAAAGTGGCACATAATTGTGAAGTGGAAGAACATGATAAATGGTTTTACAATTTTTTTTACAAATATCTGAAAAGTGTGTCGTGCATTTGTATTCAGCCCCCCCTGAGCCAATACTTTGTAAAACCATCTGCAATTACAGCTGCAAGTCTTTTTGGGGATGTCTCTATCAGCTTTGCACATCTAGAGAGTGAATTTTTTCTCCATTCTTCTTTGCAAAATAGCTCAGGCTCTGTCAAATTGAATGGGAGTGTGTCTATGAACAGCAATTTTCAAGTCTTGCCACTCCATTGGATTTAGGTCTGGATTTTAACTGGGCCACATGAATATGCTTTGATCTAAACCATTCCATTGTAGCTCTGGCTGTATGTTTAGGGTCGTTGTCCTGCTGGAAGATGAATCTCCGCCCCAGTCTTAAGTCTTTTGCAGACTCTAACAGGTTTTCTTCTAAGATTGCCCTGTATTTGGCTCCAGTCATCTTCCTATCAACTCCGACCAGCTTCCCTGGCCCTGCTAAAGAAAAGCATTCCCACAACATGATGCTGACACCACCATGTTTCACGGTGGGGATGGTGTGTTCAGGGTGATGTGCAGTGTTAGTTTTCTGCCACACATAGCGTTTTGCTTTTAGGCCAAAAAAGTTCAATTTTGGTCTCATCTGACCAGAGCACCTTCTTCCACATGTTTGCTGTGTCCCTCACATGGCATCTCGAAAACTGCAAATGGGACTTCTTATGGCTTTCTTTCAACAATGACTTTCTTCTTGCCACTGTTCCATAAAGGCCAGATTTGTGGAGTGCACGATTAATAGCTGTCCTGTGCAGCTCCTCCAGAGTTACCATGGGCCTCTTGGCTTCTTCTCTTGATTAATGCTCTCCTTGCCTGACCTGTCAGTTTAGGTGAACAGCCATGTCTTGATAGGTTTGCAGTTGTGTCATACTCTTTCCATTTTCGGATGATGGATTGAACAGTGCTTCATGAGATGTTCAAAGCTTGGGATTTTTTTTTTATAACCTAACCTTGCTTTAAACTTCTCCACAACCTTATCCCTAACCTGTCTAAACCTGTCTGGTGTGTTCCTTGGCCTTTTATGATGCTGTTTGTTCACTAATGTTCTTTAACAAACCTCTGAGGGATTCACAGAACAGCTGTATTAATACTGAGTTTAAATGACATACAGGTGGACTCTATTTACTAATTAGGTGACTTCTGAAGGCAGTTGGTTCCACTAGATTTTAGTTAGGGGTATCAGAGTAAAGGGGACCAAATACGAATGCACGCCACACTTTTTAGATATTTATTTGTAAAAACTTTTTGAAAACCATTTATTATTTTCCTTCCACTTCACAATTATGTGCAACTTTGTGTTGGTCTATCACATAAAGTCCCAATAAAATACATATTCATTTTAGGTTGTAACATGACAAAATGTGGACAATTTCAAGGGGTATGAATACTTTTTCAAAGCGCTGTATGTGCTCTTTGTATCCCAAATGGGACCTGGACCACCCTTCTCTACTGGGTTTTGATCGCTATGAGCAGCACTTGGTTGTTTTGCTGAGTGCATTGCAAATCATACAGTAGCAGCATGTCCTGTTTAGATGCTTTGAAGTCAGCTAAGTGTAGGTGTAGATCAAAGAAGTACTGCTTGTAGGAATAATTGACCCTTAAATCGTAACGAAACCCATCAATTTAACAGTTTCAAAAACAGTTAAATTTGGGCACAGTGCACAGCTATATCCACTGGCAATAACCGCATGTAAAAATCTGACATGCTAGTTGTACCCAGGTCAATCGATTAATTGACTTGGGTACAAGCAGCCTGCCCATACATGGTTTGAATCTCGGCCAGTCTGAACCGGCCAAGATTCGAGCCATCTATGGTTGGCTTAAGATGGCAGCTTTGATGACTGAAAAGGAGAGGAGGGTTTAGTTTCTCTTTAAATACATATGGAGGAAGTGCTCCAAGTTTGATTTGAATTATGCTGAATGCAGCTACAGGTGTGGTTTGACTGACCCCTGAAGGGTACACGATTTCATAACCTATTTGAAGAGCAGAATGTTCACTGTTGTATAGTTGCTGTTTAAAAGTAAGCAAAGGAATCATGGTAGCAATCTTTACCACTGCCCTTTGGTTATAAAAAAAATAAATATTCATCCTTACTCCCTGTTCTTACTGTGCATTAACACAGTTTAGAATTTCACCTAGAATTGTAGCTTTTCAGTGTCTTTATTTGATAAGGTGATTTCTTTTTCTTGCAGGGTCATCCTCGGGTCTAGGCAGCCCTCTTGGAAGGACTCGACACAGCAGCAGCCAATCAGATCTGACCAACTCAAGCAGCAACTCATCAGGCCTGAGTTTCACAGCTTGCATGTCTGATTTCTCTCTGTATGTTTTTCACCCCTATGGAGCTGGCAAGCAGAAATCTGGAGTCTCTGGTCTTACTCCAGGTTCCAGTGGTTTAGGTATGATAAGATGCATTCTATAGCATATGGATAAAATGTTATTTTGAATAAATACAAACTATATAAATGTTTCCCATCAGATCAAGACCTCTCAACCACTGTTAACATACGCAACAGTAGTGTGCTTTCCTTTCTCCTGGCATCTGGCATGTTTAAAAGCTTAGACATATTTATTAAACATAAATCTATTTTAAAAATACTGAATTTATTTCATGTTACAATTTGCAGATTAGTTAAAATAATTGGCAACGTTTTATACCAATGGTGTGAAGGCATGAATTTTGACATATTATTAACTTGCAGGACATGTGGATGAAGAGCCCACATCAGTGACAGGCCGGAAAGATTCTCTTAGTATTAATCTGGAATTTGTCAAAGTCAGTTTGTCCAGAATGAGACGTTCTGGTGGAACTTCTTTCTTTGAAAGTGTGTCTGCTAACAAAGCTACTAGCAAAATGGATACTACCTTAATAAATATCTCAGGTAATACATTCTATGCCACAAGGCTAAATGCAGTGAACCTTTGTGATTATGCTAACATATGTTTCTTTCTTTTTTCTTCATTTAGCTGTCTGTGATATCGGTTCGGCCTCTTTCAAGTATGACATGCGTCGACTTAGTGAAATTTTAGCATTTCCGAGGGCATGGTATAGAAGAAGTATCGCTAGACGCCTCTTTCTTGGTGATCAGACTATAAATGTGCCTGGTAAGATGCCCTGATAATATGTAGCTATGTTTGCTGTGTAAAATATTTCAAGCTTATGAGGTGTTGAGAAATAATGGTGCAGACTACTTATTCTTTGCTAAGAGCTTTCATCACTATATATCACTAAACTAATAGGGAAGTGGGTGTTGGAAAAAAAGATCACACAAACTAGGCTTAATTCACAAAATTAAAACATATGGATAACAATTTGACATATGACTAAAACAAAGATACTTACCCTTGGGTTAAAAAATGAGCCCACTGCACACTAAAGTGGGGAAATAACATGCCACACAGTTAACCAAATATTAAGATGTATGTTAGGAAGCCACTCATTGCAGTACTAAGGCTAATTTTTAAACTTTTTGATGATCGCTAAATACTGGATTCTATTTGTTTCCGCTTTCATTAGCCTCTGGACCTGGGACTCCTGATTCAGTTGAAGGAGCCAACCAGCATCTCTCCCCTGAATCTTCTCGCAAAGCATATTGCAGGACATGGGAGCAGCCCAGTCAGTCGACCTCATTCAGTCACATGGCACAGTCTCCCAATGTTTTCAGTGATCACACTGCAAACAACAGTATGTCTCCTGGAATAGCATCACACTCCTTGAAATCGCCTGCTGTAACCAGATCGAGAAGCGTTTCAGATTCCTCCGTGCCACGCAGAGGTACTGTTAAATTAGACTGTTGATAGCTGTAGTAGACTCTTACTTGATTGATGGTTGTTGGTCTGTTGCTGCAGGCTAGTTACTTAGTAAATTTCCTTAGCAATTTCCACTGCCTTACTACAAAACATCTATTTGTGAGCACAAAGTATTAAAGTATGTGTAAACTGCAACCATGAACTTATTTTAATTGTTTTCTTTTGACCTGGTAATCTGTTGAAATGGTTTTGTTATATCTGTTTGTAAGCTTATAACATCATGCCTCTGCTTAACTTGTATCAGTTACATCATTTTCAGGTTTTCTCTACCGAAATTCTCCCAACTATATTATAGAGGGGAAGGTGTTCTGTAGTTGTAACACAACTTCCTGTCCTAGGGCGACTACAATGCTCCTTCATGGATTTAGTACAGCAAGTGAGTGTTGCCACCCTTGGACAGGAAGTGTCTTATTGGCAGGATCACCAGTGGATCACCATATGGATGGTAAACTGCAATAATTATTTTTGTATTTAAGTTTAAATGTACTTTAACCACTTGCCCTCCTGAGGATTTACCCCCCTTAATGACCAGGCCTCTTTTTGCTACTTGGCGCTGCACTAATTCAACTGATAATTGCGCGGTCATGCAATGCTGCACCCAAAGTAAATTTATGTCCTTTTTTTCACACAAATAGAGCTTTCTTTCAGTGGTATTTGATCACCTGTGCGCTTCTTATTTTTCGTGCTATGAAATGAAAAAAGACCTAAAATTTTGAAGAAAAACAATATTTTTTACTTTCAGCTATAAAAAATATATAGTAAACTCAAAGTTAGTTATAAATTTAGGCCAAAATGTGTTCTGCTACATGTTTTTGGTAAAAAAAATCCCAACAAGTGTATATTTATTGCTTTGTGTGAAAGTTATAGCGTCTACAAACTATGGTATAGATACTGCAATTTACGCCATTTTTTTGCTATACAGCGCTGCGCTAGTTTAACGGACAATTGCGCGGTCATGCAATACGGTACATAATTGACATTTATGTCCTTTTTTTCACACAAATAGAGCTTTCTTTTGGTGCTATTTGATCACCTGTGCACTTTTTATTTTTGGCGCTATAAACAAAAATTCCACATAAACCCATGACATGTGTGAGCAATAAATCATTTAAGTGACAATTTTGTGTAAAAAATTGTCATTTTCCAAAAACTTGTGGTAAAATAAATTCTATTGATTCAACATGCCTCTCAGCAAATAGTTTGGGGTGTCTACTTTCCAAAAAGGGGTCGTTTTGGTGGGTAGGGGCATTTTATGCCCAGCATTAGAAGTTTATGCCACACATCACTCAATCTTCTAACCACCTGAAGATCAAGCCTTTTCTGACACTTTTTGTTCACATGAAAAAAAATCAGTATTTTTTGCTAGGAAATTAATTTAAACCTCCAAACATTATATATTTTTTTAAAGCAGACACCCTAGTGAATAAAATGGTGGGTACTATAATTTTCTATTTCACATAGTACTCGTGCAGCGATTTTTCAAAAGCAATTAAAAAAAAATACACTTTTTTTACTTTTAATGAACAAAAACACAATATATTGGCCAATTATTTGGTAAGATATAAAAGATGATGGTATGCCGTGTAAATAGATACCAAACATGACATGCTTTAAAACTGCGCATGCCCCGTGCAAGGGCGACAAACTGCATACATTTTTAATATCCATAGGCAACACTTTAAAAGCCTTTAAAAGCTACCATTTTAGATTTACAGAAGAGTTCTAGTGTTAGAGTTACTGCCCTTGATCTGACGTTCATGGCGATACCTCACATGTATGGTGCATACCGCCACAGGGTCAACGCTGGTGCACACAGGTGTGCGTGCATGGGAGGGGCAATTTTTTTTTTTTTTTTAACGTTATTTTGATTTTTTAAATTATTTTTACACTGTACCTTTTCATTTTTTATTTTTTTTTTTGATCACTTTTAATGCTATCAGAGGGAATGTAAATATCCCCTATAACTTCAATGGGCATTGTCATATATTCTTTTTTGAGAAATCTGTGTTCTATCAGGCTCTAGATATCTCCTCTGCCCTTACATTATCTAATCAAACCAAAATCGGTGTGATCAGATGCTTTCCCAATTTACAAATGGCGCTGTTTATATCCTGCAAAACTGAACTGATGAAATGCTCGTATCTTCCAAATTCTTTGACTATAGAGATGATTGGCACCACTATGGTCTCCAATCAGCTCTATGGTCAGCTGGCAGAAACACCGGCTGCATTCTCAGGTTCCTCGGATGGCACGGGACTGAGGGACTCATCAACGCAGATGTTTTGCTGGGGAGTATAGACATCTTCAAATTTTTGGTTAAGGTGATTTGCGAGGGGCTGAATTTTGTGGAGCCGGTCAAATTCAGGGTCACCCCAAGGATGACAGAGTGTTTTTGTTGTTGAAATGCATAAACCACATTATACTCTCATATCTATGCCTGGCCATGGCAGCAGAGAACACGGGCATATGATGAATCGGGTCTGCGGACCAATACAACCGCAATTCATTTCTTTTAGTAATGCCCATGTTGAGGGTTAGGCCCAAAGAAAATGTAAATTCGGAAACCGTAATGAATTTCCATGCGACTGGTCTGGCAAGGTTTGAATTTGGGTTGGCGGCAATAAATTGTTGTGCATATAAATTGCTTTGATCCACAATCAACACATACAGATATTCCGTGAAAAACAGCTCCAAAAATCAAGGAGGTATGTGAAAGATCAAGATGTACTAGACCGCTGCTACTCGTCAATTCACCAAAAGGTAGCGCGGCACTAGTACTGGCACTCTGCTGCATATGAGAGTCATCAAAATTTACCGGCAAGTGCCGGGCTGATCCTGCAAACACTGCGGTTTTGTGTGCAATATATCAAGTGACAGTGACCTATTGACACTGCACTTGCTGCGGGAGAAGGGGGGGGGTAAGCGTAGGGGCTAAACGCAGGTGCTGGCAGGTGCCGGGGCTGATCCTGCTAACACTGCGTTTTTGGGGACGCTATACTTATGTGAACGCTGGTATAGTGCTGATCTGTTCAAAGATATTGATCCGTTCAGACACTATACTAGCAATGGAGGTTTATTGTGCATGAGCGTGCTCCTGGCAATCAAGGGGTTAAATGTGATGACTGGTGTACTGATGGGCAATCTGACACTATCTGGGAGAGACGTGAAAACCACGGGAGCGCAAATCATGTATATATATATATATATATATGTATATATATATAAGTGTGTGTGTGTGTATATATATATATATATATATGTGAGTTTGCGCACTCATGCTGCCCTGTAGCAGTATTTCTGCTATAGGGTGGTCAGGAAGCAGTTTGTGTTACGTCGATGCGTTACTTTAACTGACAAATGCACGGTCATGCAACACTGCACCCAAATTAAATTTACGTCCTTTTTTTTCCCACAAATTGAGCTTTCTTTTGGAGGTATTTGATCACCTGTGCTTTTTTTATTTTTTGCGCTATAAAAAACGAGGCTGACAATTTTGAGAAAAAAAAACAATATTTTTGAGTTTTTGCTATAAAACATGTCCAGTAAAAAAAATGTAAAAATCAAATTTCGTCATAGATTTCGGCCAAAATGTATTCTGCGACATGTCTTTGCTAAAAAAAAATCCCAAAACGTGTAAATTAATTGGGTTTTGTGAAAGTTATAGCGTCTGCAAATGGCGAGAAAGATACTGGGATTTTTTTTATACTAGTAATGGCGGCGATCAGCGATTTATGACAGTGATCAGCGACTTATGGCAGGACTGCGAGACTGCGGTGGACATTTTGACACTGACTTGGGGTCACTGACATCCCCAGTTACACCATTACAGTGATCAGTGTAAAAAAAAAAACACTGACACTGTACTAATGGCACTGGGGAGGAAGGGGTTAACTTTTTTTAGGTAATCAAAGGGTTAACTATGCGTGGGAAGTGTTTTACTAGTGGGCGGGGGGTGTACTTCACAGGAACACACTGACCCAGAAAGCTAATCTCTGCTCTCCGTGACAGTGTGTTAGGAACTGACAGGGAGCAGAGCTGCATTGTAAACCAATGCAACTGTGCTTTGTGTCACTGTTTGCCGGCAATCGTCGGGACCCAGCGGGTAATGACCGTCCGGGACCCGGTGATTGACACCCGCGGCCACAATCGGCGGCACAGGTAGGGCAGTCGCGTGTATTGGGCGCGCCCCCTACCTGTTTTGCAACATCATATTTTAAAACGTGATTTTGCCCAGCGGTGCCACCTTGTGGCCGTTTTTCTACAGTGGCTGGATGGCAAGCAGTTAAGGCAAATATTCACTGCTAATGATCATTATATACACTAATATGATGCTTTGTCTTGTTCTCAAATGTTTGTTGTTTTATATTTCAATGGGTTTTTATTAATTTTTAAACAGTATAAAACAGAGGCAACAAAACACACCCACGCAGGGGCTATCAATTGCACAGATAAAAAAACGCAAAATAGAAAAAACAGTGCTCTAACACCAAAAGGGCAAAAGGTACGCCCACGCAGGGGCTATCAATGGCACATTAGTTACAAAACAACAAAAGGCAGCTGTCCACTGTCACACCAAAAGCAAACAGAGAAAGGAAGAAAAAGGAAAAAAAAAAAAAGAGCAGGGGTCCAAGAGCGCCAATACCAAACGCCATTACATCCCCAGACTAGCCCGGGGGAGCATGGGAAAGGCATATTGCAATCACGGCTCCCATATTTTCAAAAATGTACGTTGGGAGACGTTGCAGATACTCGACATCTGTTCGTTGAGCATCATAGTGGTCATACGATCCCGCACCCCCTAAAGAGGGACAAATGGACTCTTCCAGGCCTGAGCAATTGTTCTAGTGGCCGATAAAAACAAATAGGTAGCCAACTTCTGCTGGTGAGCCAAGAGGCCCGGTATGGGGAAATGAAGCAAGGCATACCGAGCATCCTGGCGTATGGAGAGATGGAACAACGTGAAAAGGAGGCCAAACACGCAAGACCAAAAACGGAACAGTCTCGGGCATGACCACCAGATATGTAGTACATCGCCACGATGGCCACAACCCCAAAAGCATCGATCACTACAGGCAGGGTTAGCCTGGGCCAAACGAGCCGGAACCCAATACCAACGAAACAATACCTTATAGGCTGCCTCCAGCGTGGTCGTATTAAATGAGCATTTAGCTATGAGTGACCAGGCCTTATTCCAGTCCTCCGGATCCACAGCCACTCCCAGGTCGCACTCCCACTGAACAACATATGAAAGAGAAGTATGCGACGAGCGTCTGTTCAGAGCTGCATAAAGAAGGGATATAAGGCCCGGGGCGCCCGGACACTGCTGGCAAAGCTGTTCAAAGGCAGATTTCTGGTACGGGAAAGCAGAAGTGCTCCGCAGCGAGAGCAGCCAGTGCCGCAATTGAAGGTATCGAAAAAAGTCCGCTAGGGGGACATCCCGGGACTCCCAAAGAGAATTCCAGGTGGCTAAGGACCGAAAAATCAAAAAGTGTCGCACCTGCGAAAAACCATTAGTCACTCACCAAGAAAACGCCCTTGGGTGATCTAAACCCAGTGGGAAAAGAGGGTTGTTAATAATTGGGAGCAAAGGCAGAAAAGGTGACATCAGGCCACTGGAGTAACGTACCGAGTCCCACACTTGTAAGCCATGGAGCAACATCGGGACTCAGTGCCATAGGGCGCAGGGCAGGGGGAAGCCATAGAAGCGTCGACGTTGCAATAGGGGCACAATTAGGTAGTTCCAGCAGGACCCAGAGAGGAACGTCAGAGGAAGCGTGCAACATAGACACAAATGTTTGTTGTTTTAAAACAGTAATTTAATCGTATGTTCTTGTACTGCATGTACATCCCACATTAGATTGTGCATCAGAGATGGGAAATAGATGGAGACTAATTGGATTGTGACATAGTGTACATAGTTGCTAATAAAGCTGCATAGGATACATTTTGGTTTCCCTTATTTTGGTTTTCTTTATTGTTTGCTTATACATGGCCTTTGTACAACACCATCTCTTTTCCAGTTCTGATGTAAAATTAAAAACATGATGCAAAAGCTTATGTTCTGCTTTTTTAATGAACAGTGCTTTACATCTACATACTGCATCTTAATGTGTATGTGATTTATGACAGTTTACCTCTATGTAGCCAGCATATAATGTGTCGTATTTTTTTGGTCTATAAACATATTTTTTTTCTCTTCTCCTTCAGATTCTGTCACCAAGACTTCAACACCATCTTTCAGTAAAGCTAGTAAACCATCCAGCCAGCAGGGGTCACCGTGGGAAACTCTGGTTGTGTTTGCAATTAATCTAAAGCAACTGAATGTTCAAATGAACATGAGCAATGTAATGGGAAATACAACGTGAGTCCATAAAAACTTTCTCATAACAAAATATCAAGGGCCAATCGTGCAGCATGATCATTACAGCCCATTTTCAATTGACATTAAGCTGAAAACTAGAGCCAAGGAAAAGTTAGATCTACTGTCAATACAGTATGTTATTGCTGTCTGTGTCCCAAGTTGGGATTTTTTCCTTGCTTTCTATTTAAAAAGTGTCAGCCTAAACAGGAAGTGAGGTATACTACAGTAGTCGAAGACAGAAGCAAAAGGGGAAATCACTCCAATTGGGACACAGGCAGTAAGGTAGATAGGGTAAGATCAGAGTCTCTGCGAGTGTATAAGAACAGGAGAAGATCCTTTATGAGGACACAAACAGCATCTCTACATTTTAATCCCTACCCAAACTATTACAAAAAATGATTTTGTCTACAGTTGGGTTTAATATAGCGTCTTTTGCTTAATATTCATAAACTACCCTAATGTATAATGCACATACAGTAAAGAAATGTTATTGGTGCAAATGTATCTATGTGTAGTGGCCGCAAGGCTACTTAATGTGAGAAGTATCACACTTCACTTCTGACTGGTGTGAAAATGTTGCAGCTATGGTATGCCCATTATTTACATTCAGCAGCACTTAACAGCTGCTGACCTGTCTGTTTAATGCAGCAGTAATAATGCTCCTAATACCCACTGTAATCTGTCCTGAAGTGGCCGCTGTGTACTGATACCTTTGGCAGGAAATGAAACTTACCATTTTTACTATGTGTGCAAAGATAGTGGCCTTATCACAGGGAGCAGTGATTCCAAAAGCTTCAAAAGTAAAAATCTGCTCATAATACTTGCTAACAGCTTTGTTTTTATCACTTTATATAAGTAAAAAGTGCAAGTTCCCACTGCTACTCCTGTAAGTTTCTCCCCAAAAAAGTATATATTTTCTGAAAGCAGAACCCTTGGTGAACAAAATGGTGGTAGTTTAAAAATTTTATGGCACATGATATTTGCTCAGTTATTTATCAAACACACTAAAAGGAAAAAATACACTAAAATTAATTTTAGTACAAATAAATACAATATTTTTTTTTTTTTTAATGATGGGGTTTCGTTGAATAAATAGATGTCAAACGTGTCACGTTTTAAAACTGTGCCGCCTTGTGGAATCACAAAAAAAAAATATTCTTCATTGGTGGCGATTTAAAAATCATTTAATTGCTCTCACTCTGATCTTACATGTGTGGCGCAATTGATGTTTACGTGCAGATGTGTAGCCTACGCTGCACTTTTTATATGATGTGTGTGTGAGGAGGACGGGGGATATATATATATATATATATATAGTATATATATATATATTTATATTTTTTTTTTTTTTCTTCATTATTTGTCTTTATTTTATAATTTTTTTTTTACTTTATTGTTATCACAAGGGGGTTTAGGTGCCCTCTAAGCGATAACCTGGGCTGGTGACAGGTACTCTTTATGGAGATGTTGAGTATATTAGCTGACTGCTGTACCTTTGCTATTGACAGCTTCTAGCGATTCTGTTCCTTTTGCGAAAAGAATTCATACTTGCCTGTCCTGCTGCTCATGCTTCAGATATTCACTCTTTAAAAGAGATAAGCTGGCTGAAGGATCTTCAGCATTCTGCACTCTACCAGAAGTGTTGGTTGCCTAGTCCCCCTCAGTGCACTGTGGTTCCACTTTCTGGCTACTACATCAGTATGTCTGTAGCGATGTATTATTGTGGTGACAAATAAGGGCTCGTTTAAAGTGTTAATAAACCCACAACAATAAAATCAGTCTGTATATGCAGTAAAGCATGATTGTTTTACTCACTGTGGAATCTAAGGGGTTAATTCTCCACATTATGTAAAAAGTCTGTTTGATCCTATCTTCTCTGATCCTCCCCTTCTTTTACTGTACCCAATTCCCAATACATCTTCTATAGTTCAGAGCAGGAGTGGCAGGTCTGCACATGCTCTTTTGGTGTGTATTGCTAGGGTTTTTTTGGGTTTTTTTTTGGGAGAGTGCATGTGATCGGCACAGCGTTGTCTGGGCAGAGGGTCAGGGGTTATGCAGCCTCATAGGACAATCGGAGGAGAATGAAAACTCCTCCTACAATATTAACCAGTGCTCTGCCTGACACTGGTAGAAGTCACAAGACTGCTATATACTGCTGATGAGAAAAGGTATTTGGCACTTGATATGTACTAAAAGAATTGCATTTCCATATTCATTGTACTGTGGAAGACTGGATATAGTGAATCATGGGTTTAGTAACATTTTACGGACATGTTCTTAGGACGTTTGTTGGTGAGGCATTTTTTATGTACCGTATTTGCCGGCGTATAAGACGACCCCCTACTTTTCCTGCTAAAATGTAGTGTTTGGGCTATACTCGCCGTATAAGACTACCCCTCTTCCAATGCACACCAGTGGGAGGAATAGTGCCCCATCATCGGTGTCAGTGGAAGGAATAGTGCCCCATCATTGGTATTAGTGGCAGGAATAGTGCCCCATCATTGGTATTAGTGCGGAATAGTGCCCCATCATTAGTATCAGTGGGGGGAATAGGTGCCCCATCATTGGTATCAGTGGCAGGAATAGGTGCCCCATCATTGGTATCAGTGGGAGGAATAATGCCCCATCATTGGTATTAGTGGCAGGAATAGTGCCCCATCATTGGCATTAGTGCGGAATAGTGCCCCATCATTAGTATCAGTGGGGGGAATAGGTGCCCCATCATTGGTATCAGTGGCAGGAATAGGTGCCCCATCATTGGTATCAGTGGCAGGAATAGTGCCCCAGCATTGGTATCAGTGGGAGGAATAGTGCCCCATCATTAGTATCAGTGGGGGGAATAGTGCCCCATCATTGGTGTCAGTGGGAGGAATAGTGTCCCAGCATTGGTGTCAGTGGGAGGAATGGTGTCCCATCATTGGTGTCAGTGGGGGGAATAGTGCCCCATCATTGGTGTCAGTGGTGGGTGGAATAGTGCCCCATCATTGGTGTCAGTGGGGGGGGGGGAATAGTGCCCCATCGTTGGTGTCCAGGGGGGGGGGGGGAATAGTGCCCCATCGTTGGTGTCAGTGGGGGGGAGGAATAGTGCCCCATCGTTGGTGTCAGTGGGAGGGAGGAATAGTGCCCCATCGTTGGTGTCAGTGGGAGGGAGGAATAGTGCCCCATCGTTGGTGTCAGTGGGAGGAATAGTGCCCCATCATCGGTGTCAGTGGGAGGAATAGCGCTCCATCATTGGTATCAGTGATCAATGATGGGGCACTATTCCTCCCACTGACACCAATGATGGGGCACTATTCCTCCCACTGACACCAATTACACTTGCTGACCCTGTTCTAGTATGGTGCTGCTGCAGCCAGCATATGTGGTTGCAGCAGCACCTCTACACTGAACACTTACCTGCTGTTCCTGCACTCGATTTTCGCGGGGCCGCTCGGCTCCGCCCCCTCGCCGGTGATTGGCCGCCTGTGTGCCTTTCCTGAGCTACAGTTCCGGCGGCCAATCACCGGTGAGGAGGCGGAGCCGAGCAGCCGCGCGCGAACATCCAGTGGCCGAACTGAAGGAGCAGCCGCGCTTCCTGGACCGGATCGTCGTGGGACCGGAGCCAGGTAAGAAACAGCCCCTGCGCACCCCTGTACTTGGTGTCCCTTCCGTTGGAAGGGGGGGCGGCGGCGGCACCGCGCCGCCCCCCTAAAAAGTGTCAGTATGCCGTATAGCGGCGTATAAGACGACCCCCGACTTTTGAGAAGATTTTTAAGGGGTAAAAAGTCGTCTTATACGCCGGCAAATTCTATATAATAATAATAATAGTATTTGGAATTTAAGTCCTATGCAGGTCATGTTTTTAAAGGTCTAAATACTTAGTTTTGTGATTTCCGCTAAAGGAAGAGATCAGCCCATCTGAATTCTGCTCCTTTTTGTTCAGGATAGACTACTCAATGTGTGTAGCCAACACTGAAGGAAGTCTTAAGAGTAATTGTGCCTAGGATAGTATTTCAGTCCTTTCTCTTTGTTTTTTCTTTGTCCATCCAAGTAAACCTGTTAACATCCAAAACTCAATCTTTCCAAAACTGAGCTCTTAGTATTCCCTCCAGCCCGTGCCCACTCCCCTGACTTCTCCATCAAGATCAATAATACAACCATCAGTCCCTCCCCTCATATCAGGATGCTAGGTGTAATCCTGGACTCCCATCTGTCAAATCATGTAGACTTCACCTCCGCAACATCTTTAAGATACAGAAACTAACCTCGGAAACCACTAAGCAACTTATTCACTCCCTGGTTATCTCTCGCCTTGACTATTGTAACTCCCTCCTCATTGGCCTACCTCATCGCAGGCTATCCCCTCTTCAGTCTATCATGAATGCTGCTGCCAGAATCATCCACCTTACTAACCGTTCCATGTCTGCCGCCCCTCTCTGCCAATCCCTCCACTGGCTTCCCATTGGCCAACGGATAAAATTCAAAACATTAACAATAACGCATAAAGCCATTTATAACTCTGTCCCCAATGACATCACCCATCTTGTCTCTAAATATCACCCAAACCATACTCTCTGCTCCTCGCACGACCTCCTGCTCTCTAACTCCCTCGTCTCCACCTCCCATGCTCGTCTCCAGGACTTCTCCAGAGCTTCCCCCATCCTCTGGAACTCTCTACTCCAATTTATCAGACTATCGCCTACTCTGATCACTTTTAGGCAATCTCTGAAAACCTATCTCTTCAGGGAAGCCTATCCTGCCCTCAGCTAATAATGGAATCTTCTACTCCTCCTACCAGTTCATCCCCTACAGGTACTACCTTTTGTACCACTAGCCCCTCCCTTTTAGATTGTAAGCTCCCAGGATCAGGCCCTCCTAACCCTCTTTTATTGAACTGTATTGTTGCTGTATTGTCTTCCATTATATTGTAAAGCGCTGAGCAAACAGTTGGCGCTATATAAATAGTGTATAATAATAATAGCATAGTCGTTTGTTACAATTTGAGCATAGGTCCACTTTATGACTTATCTCTCACAAATGAGGGAGACGTCTACTAAACCAAGTCAAAGTTCCAAAGGAAATTGAAGTCCTTTTACTCTAATTAGCCAGTTGATTTTATATACAATTTAATATAATTGAAATAATGATTTGCATTTGTCTGTGTTCAGGTGGACTACAAGTGGGCTAAAAAGCCAAGGTCGCTTGTCTGTTGGAAGTAACAGGGATCGAGAAATCAGCATGTCTGTTGGGCTGGGGAGGTCTCAACTGGATTCCAGAGGTGGAGTTGTAGGTGGAACAATAGATGTAAACACCCTGGAAATGGTTGGTAAGTATTTCATTTGTTGTATATTATTGCCACAGTTTCCCACGTAGATTTTACTTATATAAATGATCTTTTTCTATTTTTTTCTTATTAGTACTGATTATGTTGTAATATTGGTACCTTGTGTTCTGCTTTGATTCTGATTAGCACTCATTTCTTCAGCAAGGCCTCACCATGCCTGCTATATATGACACTCGGACCCTCCCCAAAAAATATTCATCGTAATATCATTCATTCGTAAACTTAGGATAGCCGTATAAGTAGTAATACAATTTTTCAATATAACAATAATTTCAATGAAATAATTGTGTTTTTCAGAAGTCAGTTATACTGCATGAGCAATTAAATCAATAAATAATGATTTACATTTTTTCCTGGAGAAACTAAAATAAGTTCAGCAAAAATGAACTTTCTCAATATTCTGTTAAATGATGTCTTTCAAGCTAAAGATTGTTTGAAAAGATTGATTCTGTGATCAGTTGATCTCCTGTTAAGTGCATGGACTGTGCTAGAGGTGTCTTTAGATGTAGCACTGCTACACTTTTTAGAGCCCTAGTGCTCAACATACAGCCCGCTGGTGCATTAGAGGTCATTCTGTAGCTGACTCTTCTGCAGATCTTAAAGCGTAGCTCCACCCAAAAGGAGAAGTTCCGCTTTAAGGACTGCTCCCCCGCTCCCCATTAAGGATTGGCACCTTGGGGGGGGGGGGGGAAGCGGAATTTGACAGGTACCCGCTCCCTCTTCCGGTCCGATCACCTAGGTGATCGGAAGCGGAAGGTGTCCTCCCTCCTGTAGTCTTTTGGGACACGTGACAGGACCCAGAAGACTACAGGACCATTCATGAAACGCAGTGCTACTCGCGCATGCGCAGTGGGTACCCGGCTGTGGAGCCACAAGCTATCACAGCTGAGTGCCCACACTGAAGATGCCAGCCTCCTGGAATACAGGATGGCCGGTGAAACGGGCTGCGGGGGACACACCGCGGGACCGAGGGACAAGTAAGTGGCTGTTCTTTATATGCCTTTAAATACTGTTCATTGCTTCATATGTATGCAGATATAAAACCATTGTATCTGAATGGATTGTCCCCAGTACTTACTCTCCAGAAGGGTTTCCTTTCCTAAAAATAATGAGTGTGTGGGATGCTTGGAATGTTAAAACGTTTTATCTAGTAGGGGTCCTCATAGGGGGTAAATGAAAATGCTTTTGGCACATAACAGGATAGAAAACATAAGTAATGGGTGTGTACCATTTTTGGTATGCCTAAAAGTAAGACAAAGCCAGTCTTTACATTCTTCTTTGTAGTGGGTTGCCACTGTGTGCTCTCTCTGTCTGAATTATGTGTGAATATAATTTAATCGGGATGCTGTTTACAAATTAAATGTATGTGCTTTACTTTAGCTCACATTTCAGAACATCCTAACCAGCAGCCCAGCCATAAGATTCAAATCACAATGGGCTCCACTGAGGCTCGTGTGGACTACATGGGATCCAGCATCCTTATGGGAATCTTCAGTAATGCAGACCTTAAGCTACAAGATGAGTGGAATGTCAACCTGTACACACCCATGGACACCAGCATCTCTGACAAAAGGTATTCTGTAATATACAACACTACATACATAGTGTATTTATCACACATGTCACCCATTTATATTTACAGTCATCATGTGCTTTTCTTTTAGTCTGAAAGGCTCCTATTGGAATTTATTATTTTAATTAGCATGACGCAAGTAAACAGTATATGATAATACTATAAAATATTTTTATCCTAGTGTCATATTTATCCATGGAGATCTGCAGTGGGATATTTTCCAGGTAATGATCTCAAGATCTACTACTCCAGACCTCATCAAGATAGGAATGAAGTTGCAAGAATTTTTCACTCAGCAGTTTGACACAAGCAAGCGAGCTTTATCTACATGGGGTCCAGTATCATACCTTCCACCAAAAACTGTGGTCACCAATCTTGAAAAGAATTCACGTGAGCAATGTATGAATTTTTTAAACCTTTAAAACCTAAAATTATGGTAATTTTTGTAATTAAATACTGAAGCGCTTTTAGGTTTTAAGGGTGGAATGAGAGAAAGCATGCCACTACTGTCTCACAGCTACCTCAGGCTGGGAATGAACTATTAGAAACCTCTTTTAATGAGAACATAACAGCTGGAGCAAAATGCACAGTTCTTGAACATGCAGGGGCTACTACTGCTTTAGGTCAGACCCCTGTCTAATAGAGGTTTGATATAGGTTTAGAAGATTTAAACTAAATGGGGGAGAGAAATGAAAACCTGTTTACCACTACTGCTTTTAAGATCACTGATCAGCCGGAGAAACGGCTGCAAAGAAGATGGGGCAGCAAGACAGTCATTCAGGATTTTTGCAGAGGGAATCACTGGCAAAATGCAGGTTGGGAGGAGTCGCTGGCAAAATACAGGTTAGAAGAGGACTAAAGAAAAAGAGGCTAAAGCTGGTCATACGCTGTTATTTTTTCATTCAGCAAGGATCGTATTCTTTCTTGCACACAAAGAAAGTGTGTTTAAATCTTTACATTTATACATAGGTCTTAAAAATGATATTAGGGCTTGTGTCAATGGACAAAAACAGTTTGCTTTCAGGTGCATTTGGCTTGCATTTGAGAATTGTTTGAAATGCTCCTGAATCCTATCTGAGTGCCCTCCTTATCTTTCTGACATACATTGCCTCTTTGGAGGCACCAAGCTGTTTTTGCAATCCTATTGGCTTTTATATGGGAGAAAGCAAAATAAACTGCACACAGGCTTTTGCAGTAAAAAGTCTGGATAATGTGAATACATTTAGGAACTGAAAATCACATCCAAAAAAATCTGTATCTGTACATTTATCTTGACTTGTGTCAGTAGTCAGCAGCTATGATCTTTGTATGGACAAGCAAGGAACAAGTAGAGGGATGCGAAGCGTTGTGCATGTTTCATATAAATGTGGAATGTTTGCCGCCTGCCTTGTAAGTATTATTACTGGCTTGCCTTCCTCCTCTTCCCTTTCCTATGTGTTCTGCTAGGTGCTGTTGTCTTTAGTAAAGTTTTGAGAGCTGCAAGCTGCTAGGCTGTGTTCAAACATGTATAAAGAACAGCGTAAGAGCATATTTTGACAACGGAAGTGCACTTTTTCTTAAGGAAGACACGCAGCAAAAAACAGCTTATTATTCTAAGCAGCGAAATACATAAACCAATTTCAGTTGTAATTGATTTGAGACAGTATTAAATAGTAAAACAATATTCTATAGCACTGAACAAACCAATGGTGCCACATATGATAATTTTGGTTTGACATGTATGTGTGTTTTCTGAATTTTAGTGCTGGATGCAGCTCACCACCGCCATTGGCCTGGAGTATTGAAGATGATCTCTGGCTGCCACATATCATTGTTTCAAATCCCCTTGCCAGAAGACACTGTTCAGTTAGGGGGCTCAATGAGCTTACACGGCAACCACATGACGTTAGCATGCTTTCATGGACCCAATTTCCGTTCTAAATCTTGGGCATTGTTTCATTTGGAGGAACCAAATATTGCATTTTGGACTGAAGCGCAAAAGATTTGGGAAGAAGGTGAATACTCTGTAACTTTATTGATTAAAAACCATACTGTAAACCATCCCTTTGGGAAAGCAAGTGAAGTTATAGGCAGTTGAGCACTTCCTCCTCATCTGGTTTCCGTTGCAGATTTATTTGTTTTAAATTAAACAGGAAAATGGCCATTCATAAAACTTCCTTTGTCAGTTTTCACATAATTTGCTGCAGAATTTGAACTACCCAGGAAAGAAAAGCTTTGCTTAAGTTCGGTCCTAAGAGACCCAGATATTCTTCCAGTGAGTGCTGCCATTTTAACTTTTAAACTACATACAGAAGGTGTCAAACACCTCTGTCCTCCTTGTTTCAGTATTGTGTCACTGCTTTTTGCATATGTTACTTAGTAGTAGAAGTGGTTGGTGATGGGGTGAGATCTGAGTTGAACTGCTGATGTTTTTAAGCAAACATTTTTTATTTCAATCAGGTTCCAGCGACCACTCTACGTATATTGTGCAAACTCTGGATTTTCACCTTGGTCATAACACTATGGTTACCAAACCTTGTGGAGCACTGGAGAGTCCTATGGCAACAATCACTAAAATAACACGGAGAAGACATGAAAATCCACCACATGGAGTTGCTAGTGTAAAAGAATGGTTTAATTATGTCACTGCTATGAGAAATGAAGGTCAGTCTTGTACAGCTGTCTAAAGTTTGTCAGAAGTGTGATGTGATTGTGGTTTTAGAGACCAGCAAAAAGAGTATCTCCCTACAGCAATAAACCAAACTGCATACTGTGCAGCTTATTGCAGTACAGTAGATGGGAATTCAAAGGTGTGAGCTTGTGGTTGCTACAGTCAGGTCCATAAATATTAGGACATCGACACAATTCTAACATTTTTGGCTCTATACACCACCACAATGGATTTGAAATGAAACGAACAAGATGTGCTTTAACTGCAGACCGTCAGCTTTAATTTGAGGGTATTTACATCCAAATCAGGTGAACGGTGTAGGAATTACAACAGTTTGCATGTGTGCCTCCCACTTGTTAAGGGACCAAAAGTAATGGGACAATTGGCTTCTCAGCTATTCCATGGCCTGGTGTGTGTTATTCCCTCATTATCCCAATTACAATGAGCAGATAAAAGGTCCAGAGTTCATTTCAAGTGTGCTATTTGCATTTGGAATCTGTTGCTGTCAACTCTCAAGATGAGATCCAAAGAGTTGTCACTATCAGTGAAGCAAGCCATCATTAGGCTGAAAAAAAAAAACAAAACAAACCCATCAGAGAGATAGAAAAAAACATTAGGCGTGGACAAAACAACTGTTTGGAACATTCTTAAAAAGAAGGAACGCACCGGTGACCTGAGCAACACCAAAACACCCGGAAGACCACGGAAAACAACTGTGGTGGATGGCTGAAGAATTCTTTCCCTGGTGAAGAAAACACCCTTCACAACAGTTGGCCAGATCAAGAACACTCTCCAGGAGGTAGGTGTATGTGTGTCAAAGTCAACAATCAAGAGAAGACTTCACCAGAGTGAATACAGAGGGTTCACCACAAGATGTAAACCATTGGTGAGCCTCAAAAACAGGAAGGCCAGATTAGAGTTTGCCAAACGACATCTAAAAAAGCCTTCACAGTTCTGGAACAACATCCTATGGACAGATGAGACCAAGATCAACTTGTACCACAGTGATGGGAAGAGATGAGTATGGAGAAGAAAAGGAACTGCTCATGATCCTAAGCATACCACCTCATCAGTGAAGCATGGTGGTGGTAGTGTCATGGCGTGGGCATGTATGGCTGCCAATGGAACTGGTTCTCTTGTATTTTTTGATGATGTGACTGCTGACAAAAGCAGCAGGATGAATTCTGAAGTGTTTCGGGCAATATTATCTGCTCATATTCAGCCAAATGCTTCAGAACTCATTGGACGCCACTTCACAGTGCAGATGGACAATGACCCAAAGCATACTGCAAAAGCAACCAAAGAGTTTTTTTAAGGGAAAGAAGTGGAATGTTATGCAATGGTCAAGTCAATCACCTGACCTGAATCCGATTGAGCATACATTTCACTTGCTGAAGACAAAACTGAAGGGAAAATGCCCCAAGAACAAGCAGGAACTGAAGACAGTTGCAGTAGAGGCCTGGCAGAGCATCACCAGGGATGAAACCCAACGTCTGGTGATGTCTATGCATTCCAGACTTCAGGCTGTAATTGACTGCAAAAGATTTGCAACCAAGTATTAAAAAGTGAAAGTTTGATTTATGATTATTATTCTGTCCCATTACTTTTGGCCCCTTAACAAGTGGGAGGCACATATGCAAACTGTTGTAATTCCTACACCATTCACCTGATTTGGATGTAAATATCCTCAAAGCTGACAGTCTGCAGTTAAAGCACATCTTGTTCGTTTCATTTCAAAACCATTGTGGTGGTGTACAGAGCCAAAAATGTTAGAATTGTGTTGATGTCCCAATATTTATGGACCTGACTGTATGTGTAATTAAATTCTGAAAAAATATTGTCAATACAATCAGCAAAATATTGGTGCTTTGTTAGTGAGGGCTTCTTGTAGGACAAATGAAGGACAAGCATATATTTCACATCTGCAATTGCCAAGCATTCACATTAACTTCTATGACATTAACTCATCTCAAAAGTTCAAATACATGTGCTGGTAATCAACTTTTATTAGCAGTTGCAAGGACGTAAGATGTGAAAAAAATTTCAGACTGTCCTACATTTTGGGCTTACTTTAGTTTTCAGGCATAAAGGCTGAATTATTAGATACGTTGAACATGTTCACACAAAAAAAGAGTAAAGATTCACTACAATTATCCAATCACATACAGATTAAATAAATACACCTTCCGCATGACTGGATTATTGAAGTGAATTTTCACTTTTTCAGGTGAACATTCTCAATTAATTTGGTAAATTAGACTCATTATCCCTGACCTAATCTTGCTGCAGGATTCCAACACATCCCCATTTGGCAATCAGCAGGAAGCATCAGTTTT